GATCGTTAGAAAAATCAGCATCTATCCAAACCACATCAGGTTTCCCATCATGATTAGGTTCATTTAACATATTTTCCTCAGAATTGCAAGTAATTTCATTAGAAATATGTGAATCATTAGGAAAAGTCATACCTGGTACAACAGCATGAGAATTCTGATAAATCGGTTGATTAGGAACTGTTGTCTCACAAGAATTCTAGATTTCATTTAACTCTGAACTGCCATATGACTCCGCACTGTCTTTTGAAATCGTTGATAAAGATAAATGATCATCATGAATACTCGACTCAGTAGAATCAGAATTACAAGACTTAATATTAGTTGCAGTATGATGAACATTAGCATTACAAACTGACTAAACTTGTCCAATATCACGACATTTGAAGCGCTTAGAATTATGAAATTTACATGAATTAGAAGAGTGGAACTTGCAACAGGACAAACACTGACCAAACTTGTCCCCATCCTCGTGAACTGCATCCAAACTCAATGAATTGTCTGCATAACCTTGAGTATGCACTGGGTTGGGATGACGTAGTAATGTAGTGGACTTTTTTATATCCTCATGAATCATTTTACGAAATCTTCCTCTTTTACGACATTTGAAATTTGTATACTGAGCATAGTCTAGCAGTAGATCCTTGAGAGCTGTATAAGAAAGCGAAATGGGCTTTTCCGGCATAGCCAGAGTTCTTAATAAGCTGTATGCTTCTTTTCCAATGAATGTGAGGAAGTGTGCCACAATATTAACATCCTCATCATCTTCCTTGGTCATAGCCCAGATTTCGAACCTTTCAAAGTAATCTTCAAAAGCTTCCGAAGTTGAATGAATATCTAACTTTTCCATTGCAGGCTCCATCGCGATGCCAATATGGTATTCGAACTATCGTATGAACTAGGAATTCCAGGATTAACGCAATTGAATTAAGAAGACACAGGCACAAACAAATGTATTGTATTTAAAATTCGAAATCGAGCATTCAACCAGTACCAATGTATCATTAGTTCATTCAAGCACCACAGTTACCTCGTGAAATGCAGAGTACAGGCCCAAAAAGGATATTTTTGTTTTAGTTATCAGAAGTCTTTAGTATCCTTGTAGCAATAAATAAATCCTCAAATAAATGGTATTGTAAGTGTTCGACGTCTGACGCTGACTTCTCAAGTTTTACTGGACACACTTAGCTGAAGGCGCTCGGTCACGCATCTCTTGACATTGCCAGACAACTTAGACAAAACGCTTCCAGCTATATCGATAGTCTTCTGAATATGTCTTTGAACAATTTCATTTATGACTTCTGATTTCGTTGGATTGACATGCTTCGATCATAAAGATGTTACATGTAAAGGCGTTGTCAGACTTCGAATACCTGTGATACCTTTTCTGTAATATGTTGACAACAATCTATGTGGTGAGGTCGTTTTTCTGATGGTTTGGCCTCAATCTTATGAACAATTTTGTGACATGTATCTGTACTTGCTCCAAGTTTCCTATGCGCCATTTAGGAACTAAGTATTTAATGACGGGCCAGTTGACGTGTAATATTTATTGCTGTTATTTCTTCAGAGAAGAATCAATTTTCTCGCAGAGGTATTCACCGATGGACTTGATACTGATTTTCACCACAGTATGAGGAAAAAAGATTCCCAACTAGAGCTTATCTGGTTACGGTTTTTCAACCTTTTTTAGACGATCCTAAAGAGAAATGAACGATAGGACATGTGAACATGAACCGTTATTAAAGGTATGGAATGACGATATAATTCTCCATATGTTCTGCGATGAGATTAGAAGCAAAGCTTTAAACATTTTATCTGTCCATTATATGAGACTTTGGAAAATCTTGAAATCCATTCAGCATCTACTCTTTAGAAGTGTTTAGGGGCCTATACGTGTTAAAATGGATGTGGACAAGCCCCTTGAATTCATATCCTAGGTTCCGTTTCACGTATATTGTATTCAGAATTCGAATTGAAAAGCACTAGACGCCCGTTTGTTCTTAAGAGGGCACTGAAAAATCGCTGAATTACAATTAAACCGGGTTTTTTAACCGACGACTCCTTTTGATGGATTGTGCGTGACCTTCAGATCACTAAGTGGAAATACAGTGGCACACATATATCTTCAATTATCACAAACAATCCTTAAATATATATTATTGACCTAGAACGAGATTATGAATTGGAACGCCTATCGAATCACAGTCCGCCCGAGCATATAAACGGTCAACCTTCAAAGTATAAGATGCGTATAGACTTTGCACCCATGAAATCTACTATCGTTGAGTTAAAACCTTTTGTTTAAACTTTGCGAAAGCTCTCCGTAACAATACCACCCCGATGTTGTGGAAAGTTTTCTTGAAGCTGATAGCCCCAAAAGCAATGTTCACGAAAAAGTAACTAACAGGATTTCCATATTGTATGAATGCTCCTCTTTCAAACCTGGTTTTGAACGATTAAGTTTACAAAAATTTGACTCGGGAGCATAAAAGTACCAAAACATTGTTTTTTCACCGTGTTTTCGAGGTACTAACTTTTCTTATCATCACCGTTGTGACTGTGTAAAGTGTAAATTATTCCACTGTCCATGCGAGATCTCTGAAGCTCTATATATATAACGACTTTTTTCATTTATGGTTGAGTTCAAAATACCTTTATTACATATAATATGCGATGTTTCGTCGTATGAAACACATACTGAAGTTTGATCTCCAGAGGCTTACAAAAGTGACCTATGCGTGATTAATAGACCCATGAGACCTCGATAAGGACACTCTACACAAGAGTGACCAGGGTAATGAAGTGCTGTTACAGCAGTTTGGGAGGATCAAGGGTCAAAATGCTCGAATTTCGGGATATGTGCACTCCCGTCGAACCAGTAATCGTAGAGCGAGCAAAAGCTTAGCCATGAAAGTGAAGCAAGTAGATGGAATATGGTTCTGTTTAAACGTGACAGATAACCTAGAGCGAGATGTTAGTGGTTGAAACTTGCAAGCATTATACTCTGCATCTTCAGCCACAACGAAGACGATGCTGCCGTGGAGGAGTAAGCTTAATCCACTCCATTGCATACGGACTTGGAAAAACATCAAACAAAAAAGCATTTAAAAATCACGCAATTCATCATCTGTGAAGCAACTGCACCAAACTTAAAGAAAGGTCTGTAGCAAACAGAAAATCACACCTAAAAGATAAATCACTGTGCTTATCTGCTTATCTGGATGCTCTTACATTTAACTAGAGAACTAAAGGACCTCACAGTGCAGGTTAGCTAAACGACACGAGCTGTAGATCATCAACGTAGATGATCTATGTCGAGTGACTGGAGGCCTATTCGAGTTAGACGGGAATGGTGTGACGAGAGAGCTATTTTGGAAGTCACAGCTCGTGGTCAACATATACATGGATTACCCCATCGTCGTATCAAAGTACTATTGCTGCTTTGAAGACCGCGCAACACAAAGGACGTTATTACGGAAATATATTAGTAAGAACGAGTACAGAGAAGATGGAGAGACCACCAACGCATGCGCCAGTCCATGGCATATGTTTGGTTGTCTTTGACCCTGACAAGGATCGACGATCTGTTCGATATTCAGTGACTCAAATGCCGAATGGTTTGGCTATGGCTCAGTGACATTTCACTGGCCCTACAAAGCTAACTTGAAACACATATAGTTATTCTCGGGTTTCATTAACATTCGGGGTGGAGACGGAAGAACGAACACTTCTACGCTAGTTAGATAGCGAACTTTTGTCATTACATCAGTGATGCATAGTAGACGGCTATGTCTATCCGCCACAAATGCCATTGACACTTGTCGGCGAGGAGGTTTCTCGAAAGGTTTGTCGTGACAGAAAGTTTGAGATTGATGAAACGGTAAGGTTTCCTGCAACTTCTAGAATGTTTGCTCTGCATGGTGTAATACCAACAACAAATAGGGTCACCTGTCTATTATGGTCTATAAACAGATCTTTTTGGTCACGGGGTTTTTCGAGGGGTTTGGAAACATCTGTGATTATGATGCATACTAAGATGACATGCGAGAGTATGACAAAGATCTGTAACGTCATCTCGTGTCGTTTGAGGCCTTTATTCGGCAGAAAAATCCTCGGGGCCTGTTATTCTAGTGATCTGTAGAATCCGACTGGTAGATGTAGTCATTTCGTCTACCGCTTGCACCTGTTGTGGAGATTTAATGAAAAGTTATCTAAAGGTTACTTTGTTGGAAGTCCGTCGACCAATGACTTCTCGGATAAGTACTGAAATTTCTGTTTGCGAACCGTGCTACAATCTCATCTCGTGAAAGAGCTGGTCTGAACTTTTACGATCAGTTAGGTTTCTTCGTTTAAGAGTAGCTCTTTTAAGGTATCGTAGGGCTCAGAACCATCACTAGTAAACATGCTAGGCCTAATGTGCCCGGTAAAATCACGCGGTAGCGCTTTCACCACTGAGATGAATTGCGCACGTGGGCCTATCATGCAGTGCTTTTGCGTAGCAGATCCAGTTGTCAAAACATTAATCCAAAGTGATGTGAGTTGAAAGTTATGGGGCATAAGAGTCTTATTCTCTAATATATTAAGTGGTTGTTCCGTCATAGTTAGGGTAAAACAAATAAGTAAGCAAAAACTTGAGGAAAGAAACATATCACAATATGTGAAAATAAAAATGGAATCTGATATCTAATGATATGACAAGGAACAGAATCACAGTTTATCGTTTGGTGTATCATGTCAAATCGAACTCATCACTAAAGATGCTACAGATATTCAGAAATTGACAACGCTTTTGTTAGTAACATCTCTATAATTAAAGGATATTAATCCGGATTCATGAAATCTGATATGGCCGTCCAGCCATATCAGATTTCATGAATGAATGAGTTCAAAGATACATTTGTGAGGTTGTCGATACGTCCGTATCGGTAGCCCACTACTGTTAGACACGGAATATTGATAATCATATGCTAGTTCTAGTACCTCCACAACCGTTGGAACCATTTGAAAGGTCGTATTAGAGTTTTTCAGAGGTAATTCGAAAGACTACTTTGCAACCAATCATCGAAGCCTGATGTATGCGACAGTTGGTAATTTGATATGATTGTGTAAGTTGTTAAATAACTTCTACGCTACTGAATCTCATTTTAACTCAGCTGTTCAGTTAATACTCGTATTCCGGCAGACGTTATCAACGGCTTAGAATAAACAGTAGTTATGTAGTTACCATATATGTAATACATATTGTATATATATATATATATATATATATATATATATATATATATAGTATAATATAGTATAGTATAGTACAGTATAGTATAGTATAGCTACTGTTTATTATATAGCCATAGCTTCAAATGGGTGGGCTCTCTTGGGGCATGTCAGTGAAATACCTCGTAATTATTGGTGTGTCTGAATTAATTGAACGGATGAACTAGTAAACCAAGGTTAGATCTAACCTCAGTTATCTGTCCTTTGAAGGACAGATAACTGAGTGAACATACATTAATGTAAGCTGACACTGTACCAACCATCAGAAATACCAATAAAAAGTAAAGTCAACCTTATTAAAGCTATTTTTAAACTATATATTTGCCACATTAGGGTTGGTAAATATTACACAACTTCCTAGCTCTTCGGCTCTTTTTGGTAAGGTTACATTCTCCATAAAAAGTAGACAATATGGAAAGAAGTCCGCTTTTAGAAAGTAATTAACCATAATAAGTAATTTGTACATTTCAGTTATTCAGCACCAAAAAAAGAAAATTAGGCGGTTTTAGAATAGGAGATGAGGTGCTTATGATATATGTACATCTGTTAGATTATGAGAATTACTTATTTCTGTTGGTGCTGCTGATAATATTTTACCCATAATTTTGGCTGTTACTATTTGTCACTCTACGTTTGTCGCATTCTGAACACCCCTTCTGAATTTTAAGATTTCCTCAGTACTCTGATTCATGCACTCCAACTATCGATTCTAGTTGTTTTAATAACTCGAAAAGGCTGGTTTACCACTGAATGTTAAATAATCTTAAATTTCATAAAGAACCCTTTTTGAAGTTGTGGAATATTATTTTAACTTTTAGCATCTTTAAGACTTAAAATTACACCGAAATTTGTTTACCATCCATTCAAGCTCGCTCTGAAACTTAGTGGTTAGCAAATGAGTCTGAATCGTAATAAATTTAAACTTGGCAAGAAATTTCGTAGTCTGAATGCAAAGTTTTTGATCTGCATATCACAGTAGTTGGTAGAAACTTTGCAACCAGTGAGTCGGAGGTTTAGACTTTACCTCAAATGGCAAGTATAGTTCAAGATCTAGTGCACACAATCAGAGACTTGGTCGCAGTTGTACGTGATTTGTAACATGACAAATACGTAGCTAATCATCAGTAATCAAATGATGCAGGTAGATTGTCCAAGTTAGTAAACAAGTGGGTATTAAAGGGTGTTATGTGTTAATATCTCCATATCGTTACCCATCTGCGACTGAAATTTAAAACAAAGTCACTTGAACTTCTATATTTAAGAGTTGTGTAAATTCAGGGACGCGTGTATAACTGTTTACGTGTTCTTTCTCCGATTCTAACATAGATGATGGGCCTCTTCTCCTGGGTTTATATTCTAAGTAGTGAGAGATGTTTGAAAAAAACCTAAAATTTTTTAAGGTTTTGTTTGATGTTTTACTGATTACTTATTTTTGATATAGGTAAATTATCCTATATACTTTGTATAGTGAGCCATTTTGAACAAAAATAATAAAATGGAAATATATCACGAAATAAAGGTTTAAGAATAAATAACTGATACAATTATGAAGCTTTTGATTTGGTGATTATGATGACACTCGGTAATCCAAAATTTATCCAATCATTTCACGGAAATCGATCTAATTTGAGCGTAATATTGATAAATATTGAACACATTTAGTAAATTTCTACATCATAATACAAGTGAAGCCCTTCAAAATTCATGATTTATACTTATGAACGTTTTTAGTCGTCATGGCTAGATTATTTCAAGTAAACATTTACTTTTAGTTGTTTCAAAGCTTTTGAAAATGGAGAGTGAGCGCTCGAATCTCTTGGCTATCGTCAAACTTGTTGTACACGATCTAATTCAGCTTACATTTGATCAACATCAGGTTTCTCTTGATGAAAACATTTTCTGGGGTGAATCTAGGACTGTTCATTGTGAAGAGGTTCTAAATATTGTCTGGCGGTTGCTTTCTGTTGTTGAGCACTGTCTCTGTCATGGTTTACGTCGAGATTACACAATGCCTGACTCTTTTGACGACAACAATGAAAGAACTTCATCGAAAGGATTAATGAAGGATGCGACAACTGTCGTCCGAAGAGCACGTAATCATGCCGTTTCCGCTGCAAATATTTTTATGAAAAATTCGTCACATCCAAATCCTTGGCCCGTATTATTAGAAGCAGAAAAATTGTCAAAGACCACAGATTCTATAAGTAAAACTGTTGCTACGATGACTGAAATACGGACTGGACTAGGTCGCTCTCGCGTTTGGTTAAGGCACGCTTTAATGAGAAAGGTATTTCCCGCAGTTTTCGATCTGTTTTAAATGTAATATGTTATCAAGTCGGATTTGCTTCCCCTGAACTTATTTTGTATGACAATCTTATTCTGAAAGAGTAGCATCGGTTATTTTTTCTCAAATTTGAGTTTTCATGTGTATAAGACTTTGGGCATTACGTTAGGTCTCATCTGCAGCAGAGCCTTATAAAAGTTTTTATATTCTTCGTTTATTACTGTAAAATAATAATTACGGTGTATCAGTCAATAAGTTTGCTTACAGGTTATGAAGACTTGTGAAATACTTCACTCTTAGCGCTTCTGGTAGGTAATTTTGCAAAGTTCGATTCATCATCAATTCCGAAATTTCTAGTCCAAAGTTGTGTACGTTTTCAAATTCTTTTCAGCTTCCTGTTTGATATATTGGTATAGTTCTCCTTATTTTGTCTTTTATAACCATTATTAATCTTTCTGAATGCTTATAGCGTACCTTTACTGATATTTATTCCTTCAAAACAAAATGGCAAAAATGAACTCGAGAGTAAGTACGTATCACATAAACAAGAAACTGTGACTTCCTAAAAATAAAATAAGGAACGAGAGTTAAGTCAAAAACATTAAAGAATAATAATAAGTGAACAGTAGTATATAATGGGAGAAACTGTTCAGTTAGATAACAGCCTGAAAGGATTCTCTCAGTTAAGAGAATCAGTGAGTCAGCTACAACGTAGGACCAGGCACATATATGCATCGGCTCAAGTTACCACACCTCATTAACACAACAAGATGAACACCGGATTCATAAAAGTAGTTAATTCAGAGGTGGTAATATATAAAAGAAAGATTGCAATAAGGATATAGCACAGGAAGAAAGAATTAGTTGGTAGAACGAAAGATATGGAGCGATTTTAATATCATAGTTTAAGGGAAGACAGAGAGTGAATACACAGATGCCATTGTGATCGATTCTGAGCCATGTCACCAAGAGTCTCCAACCATTGGTTACGATAGTCACGCGGACCCCAACCAAGTAGTCTGCATCCACCAACATGGCTCGGACTAAACGTTGGTGTCTTCAAGCATTGATGCCACGTTTTGGTTTGGCCGCCCCTAACTTCCTTCCAACCATCCCCAACACCAGTCAGCATTGTACGTCGTGGTAATTGGTGTTCAGGCATACGTAACACGTGGCCCAACCGTCTCAGTCGATCTAGATTTACAATCTCATCAACTGGTTTACCATCATTCCCTAATACCTTGCATCGAACCTCCCTATTACTTAACCCGGTGATTCCAGCAGATGCCAGCTATATTTCTAAAACATCTGTGATCAAATACTAGTGACTTTCGAGTATCCTCTACCTTTAATGGCCACGTTTCGCAGCCGTAAAGTAGAACATAACGAACTGCCGCGCAGTATACTCGTCCCTTAATTGATAGACGGATATCTCGCCTTCGTCATAGGTAGTGATGTAATTATTTGGCAAACGCCAAGCGAGCTTTTCGAATCCGTGCTGAGATTTCGTCAGACACCAACCCATTAGGGTTGATGAGACTTTCAAGATTAGTGAAGTTGTCGACGCATTCCAAACATTCTGGCATTGTTGCTCAGTGCTACCAAAAGACTGCACTTTATCGGCGTCTTCACCAAGCAGAACTATGTCATCTGCGTATTCTAAGTCGATAAGTGGACCTCCTGGAAGAAGATCAATTCCTGAAATTTCAAATGACGAAAGCGTTATTTCCAGCAGTAGGTCTATGATGAAGTTAAACAAAAATGGAGATAGTGGACAGTCTTATCGGACATCACTTGAGGTTGCGAAATTACATGACGATTCGCCATAAGCTCTGACTCGACTAGTAGTGTTCGAGTAAAGAGCCTCCACAAGGTTTACGTACTTATGAGGTACACCTTTCAATGACAAACTGCCTCTCGGTCTATCGAGTCGAATGTTGCTTTTAAATCAAGAAAACCTATCATTGTCGGACGTCGATAAGCATGCCTGTGTTCTAAAACCTGACGAATGTTAAATATCTGGTCAATGCGGTCACGACTAGGTTTGAAGTTAGCCTGGTTTTCTCGTGTTGGCAGTTCACGAGTCTTAGTTAAGCGTCTGATAATTATCTAGGCTAGTATTTTAGATATTATATTAGTCAAACTTATACCTCTGTGGTTGTTACAGGATGATTTTGACCCTTTCTTATATATTGGGACGATAAGTGATTGTGACCAGTTAGACGGAATAACGTCTAACTCCCAGATTTTAGCTAAAATATTAGTCAACCTAATCGCTAAAATTGGACCACCATCCTTAAAGACCTCTGGAGCCAATCCATCTGGACCAGCTGCCCTTCCTCGTTTCAGATTAACTATAGCCTTTTGAACTTCAGCAAGAGTTGGGGGACCTACTTCAATGTTCCATTCATACTGTCTGGGAATGGAGGGTAGTTGTAGAGTAGCTGAAGGCCAGCTGAACTGTTCTCTGAAATGTTCCGCCCATCGTTCTAAACGCCTGGACTGGGAGCAGATGAGTGTATCGTCTTTTTCCGATATAATCTCACTTACACTTGACTTATTAATTCCAGTTTCTTTTATTAGTCTGTAAAGCTGTCTTGTGTTCCCTATAGTCGCCGCCTTTTCCATCTCTTTTGCTTTCGTTGCCCACCACTGCTCACGATCGTTCCGTAGACGTTTACTTAACCTAGATCTAACTTGTTTTCGCTCTTCATCGTGTTCAGAGCCTGATGGGATGAGTTTACAAAAATATATCAGTGCAATTGATGTTTCAGAAATCCATTGGTTTTTCGTAACCCTGTGGTTCAAATCACTAGTAGATCTCACTGCAGTTTCCACAGCTGTTCGTTGCTACCTTGACGTGGTGGTCGAGCTTGCCTATCGTGATGAAGCAACCGAGCTATACTGGCTGGAACAACCGTTCCTCAAGGTCCTACCATGTCAGACAGGTCGGTTGAAGAGCGGTAAGACTAAAAGCAACAAACCCAAGGTCCGAAGGCGAAGTCGTACTGCTGACTGTACAGAGGTGTGACAGCAGTAAGGTGTTTCCTTCAGACAACCAGCATGACAGCGATGCTGCTTTATCATAAGGAGGGGTGGGGTGAGAAAAGGTCGACCCTAAAAATGCACACCTCGCTTTGTCTCACGGATATCCGTCTCCAGCGGTAAGGTTTCAACAAGTACGGAGCTAACACAAAAATTACGCTCTCAGGTCACTAAGACCACCTCTAATCCAATTTCCTCTTCAGGTACCTCCAGAAAAACCCTTCGACGGTGTGGGCAACCGGGAAGTGACAACCGCCCTCATACCTCTAACAGCACTCAAGACCACTGTATTCATAATCAACCTCCGTCTTCACTTCCTATTATTCTTCCTACATCGACTTTCACCTCTAAAAGTCCTTTTTCGGCTTCCCCCTCAAGTGTCACCATAACCAACGATTCTAGTGCTAGAAACACTGTCCCAGGTCTACTGAAACCTCGCTCCAAACTACACATTGGAGCCATCAAAGTACTCACTCTATGTCAAATCGACCAGCAGGCCTCCTTTACTAAAACCCTAGAATCTCGTACCATTGATGTATGCTGTGTCTCCGAAACACGCATACAGGATCCCAGTGTGGTTATTACCTTGACATCACCTCGCCAAAATGTGGAGCCGACGAGATATACCCTCCGTGTATCTGAGAACCCGATGGCTAGTTCTCTTGGACTGGCAGGTATAGGCATGGCACTAAGCATGAGGGCGGAACAAGCACTGCTAGAGTGGATCCCCGTCAACAGTCGTCTATGTGCTGTTCGGCTAAACGGCTCCATAAGAACTTCATCATAGATCTACTGATGGAAATAACTTTCTCGTCTACTGAATTCTCGGGTATTGATCTTCTTCCAGGAGGTCCACTTATCGACTTAGAATACGCAGATGATATAGTCCTGTTTGGTGAAGGCGCTGATAAAATGCAGAGTCTTTTGGTAGCACTTTTGGTAGCTTCTCTCCCTCTAAATGCAAGTTTTTGCTTCAGGACTGGTCTGCGTCAACACCTGAAATAAGGATAGGGAGTTAAGTAGTCGAACGCGTTGACAACTTCACTTATTTTGGAAGTCTGATCAGCCCTAATGGGTTGGTGTCTGATGAAATCTCAGCACGGATTCGAAAAGCTCGCTTGGCGTTTGCCAAATAATTACATCACTACCTATGACGAAGGCGAGATATCCGTCTATCAATTAAGGGACGAGTATACTGCGCGGCAGTTCGTTATGTTCTACTTTACGGCTGCGAAACGTGGCCATTAAAGGTAGAGGATACTCGAAAGTCACTAGTATTTGATCACAGATGTTTTAGAAATATAGCTGGCATCTGCTGGAATCACCGGGTTAAGTAATAGGGAGGTTCGATGCAAGGTATTAGGGAATGATGGTAAACCAGTTGATGAGATTGTAAATCTAGATCGACTGAGACGGTTGGGCCACGTGTTACGTATGCCTGAACACCAATTACCACGACGTACAATGCTGACTGGTGTTGGGGATGGTTGGAAGGAAGTTAGGGGCGGCCAAACCAAAACGTGGCATCAATGCTTGAAGACACCAACGTTTAGTCCGAGCCATGTTGGTGGATGCAGACTACTTGGTTTGGGTCCGCGTGACTATCGTAACCAATGGTTGGAGACTCTTGGTGACATGGCTCAGAATCGATCACAATGGCATCTGTGTATTCACTCTCTGTCTTCCCTTAAACTATGATATTAAAATCGCTCCATATCTTTCGTTCTACCAACTAATTCTTTCTTCCTGTGCTATATCCTTATTGCAATCTTTCTTTTATATATTACCACCTCTGAATTAACTACTTTTATGAATCCGGTGTTCATCTTGTTGTGTTAATGAGGTGTGGTAACTTGAGCCGATGCATATATGTGCCTGGTCCTACGTTGTAGCTGATCGACTGACAGCTGTTCGTGTATCTTTCCATAGAACATCTGGATCAGTCTCATATTCAGAACTACCTAAGTGTTACTTAAGTTGTTCTCGGAATCTGGTTTTGGCTTCCTCGTCACTGAGTTTAACTCGGATGTGTCTTAATGTGGTTTTTTTGCGTAGAGCGAGGTGCAAGCAAATGCGTGCTCGTATTAGAGCATGTTTGCGGTCTAAAGAGGTATTCCATAATGAGCGACAGTTTTACATCGAGCCTGTCCAACGATGACTGATGGCAATGTGGTCTATTTGAGTCCATCGTTGGTTTGGTGCAGGGAATTACCTTGTTAGACGATGTCTCTCCTTATGCTTAAAATGCTTAAAAATAAACGATTGCCTGAGCAAGGTTGCAGCAGACGGTCACCATTATCTGTTCGCTGATCCGGGATACTAAATACCCACCTAAAATGTCTTTCTGTTTGGTTTCAGCTACTTATTCGGGCAACAAAGTCACCTGCTACGAGTACTATGTCTGAACGTTTAGCTTTCTGAAGAAATCCAGAGAGTTTTCTGTAAAATTCATCTTTCACTTCATCCGGGCTGCAGTCAGTGGGAGCGTAGGCCGAACAGCACATAGACGACTGTTGACGGGGATCCACTCTAGCAGTGCTTGTTCCGCCCTCATGCTTAGTGCCATGCCTATACCCTATACCTGCCAGTCCAAGAGAACTAGCCATCAGGTTCTCAGATACACGGAGGGTATATCTCGTCGGCTCCACATTTTGGCGAGGTGATGTCAAGGTAATAACCACACTGGGATCCTGTATGCGTGTTTCGGAGACACAGCATACATCAATGGTACGAGATTCTAGGGTTTTAGTAAAGGAGGCCTGCTGGTCGATTTGACATAGAGTGAGTACTTTGATGGCTCCAATGTGTAGTTTGGAGCGAGGTTTCAGTAGACCTGAGAGTGTTTCGCGCACCATAATCGTTGGCCAGGGTGACACTTGATGAGGAACGTTAGAGTTGAAAGTCGATATAGGAGGAATAATAGGAATTGAATAGGGAAATTGATTATGAATACAGTGATCTTAAATGGTAGAGGTACGGGAGCGGTTATCACTTCTCGGTTGCCCATACCCTGGAAGGGTTATCTAGAGGTACCTGAAAAAAAAATTGGGTTAGAGGTGGTCTTTTTGACCTGAAAGTGTGGCCGCAGTGCCCAATGGACAACTGCTTGAGCCCGGTCACACACGACCTTTTTGTGAGGAGTTTTCGTGTCACCTCCGTACTTGTTGGGACCTTACCGCCGGAGACGGATATTTGTGGTATAAGGCGAGGTGTTACAATTTGGACACGCGGGCAGTATCACAGCCCTCTCACAAATCAATGATAACTGTATAGCGTATATGTATTTGGTGCCCTCTTGTAACTGTTTGTGTTCAAATAAAAAACAGTGACACCAAGTCGGTCGTCGTCACTGTGCCCGAACACACACTGCTAAATCTCCTCATTGCTAACATGGTGCTGCCACTAAATGTTAGCTATCTTTCAAGGACAATGAAGGGTGATTTATTTTGGCTCATTTAATCGTTTTCTTGATCTGATTCTCTCTTCGTCTATTTCTTCAAGAATCCTCTCCCTTTTTTGTATAGTGTATTACTATTTTGATACCACTTTATCTCAGTAATTATTTGTTCAGATAAGTAAACAAGTGTTGTGTGGATAGTGTGAGCTAACATGAACATTTTCTTCATTAGTAATCATCATCATGGTTTCGTCTTGTTCGGGATACTACCTGGGTAACCAAAGTTAAACAGATACTCTTCTCCGGATGACACTCGTCAAAATTTTGAGTTACAATTTACAAGACAATAGGGTAATATAGTGGGGTGTAGTTCAATGCAAATTTCCTGTCCTAGGATTCTGAACCAATGTGGGCCATTGGTTTGGAATCAGGGTTTTCCAGCTAACTTAGGTGTATCCTACGTATTGCTCAAAATAAAAAAGCAGTAATTTTGTTTGTCCTTTTTCTTATTGAGGCTCTGTGCTGTCAAGCTTTAGAGATACAAACCTGTTAGCAGTGATATATTCCCATGATTTTATTCGTTTCTTTCGAAGCATATTTCCTATATATATATATATATATATATATATATATATATATATATATATATATATATATATATCTTACCATTACCGTAGCAGCTTGAATTGATCCACACTCATACCACATAGTACGCTAGTTATGACTAATCACCGAAAAAGGGATACGACTTTGAATAGTTAGTTTGTAAGATACACCCTAAATTTTTAATACGGTTGCCAATACGGAATACCATCTAATGCTTTTGTAGTTTCATCGTTCAGCTTTTTTTGTACCCGATACACAAGACCTCAATGTTGCCTTTGACAAATCTTTACTTGGTGTAATCAGAGCATATTTCAACCAGGTTTGTTGCAGGGTTCCTAACTAATTTCGCAAACGTTTATTTAACTTTCTTGCTTTATGGGCAATCCATTTATATTACTACAAGCTAGTATGCATGATGAGGTAAGTGAAATATTAGACACTTAAGTCCTAGATATCCTGGTATTTTGACTGTAAAAAGGACCTCATAAATATAGACAGAAATCCGAGTCATTATCTACTCCTCGCATCCTCGTTATCAATCTGTAGATACTGCGGTAATAAATTTTCCAGCTGGTAACTCCAATACAAAAGTCTAATTCGCTAGCGCCAAAAAAGTCCTCGATTTATCCTTTACAAAACCTAAGTTGCTTTTATGTGGTTATCCAGTAGTTTTATTGGAATTTCATTTTTATTTCTTATAGCAACTAGGAGAGTTTTTTCAAGTCATAATAGATTCTATCGATTCTTCCAATTCAAATGGGAGTTTGGAGAGTTCTCCAAAAGTCTGTGAAAGCAACACAATTCCTGTAACACAAAATTCCAGTACATTTGCTACATTTTATCACTCTGGTGCTTTGCTTTTAAATAACGAAGGAGTTGTCGTAACCGGTTTGTTAGCAACTTTGAAGTCTATAGACTTTTGCTTCATACTGAAAGATAATCTGTCTTACATGGATAAACCGGTTTGTCTTTTAATGTTTAAAAAGTTTTTTAATATCCATTTCTATATATAAATTTAAAAGTAACAGCGAATATCGGAAAACTTTGATTTTGCACCTTTCTAAATGGTTTGTGTTCAGTTACTCGAATCATCGGCATAAATGCTACATGTGTTGAGTGACAATAAATACCTTTTGTTGTTATTGTGAGCCATTCAAAGTCCACCATTGCGGAAATTTTCAATACTGCTCCATTGGCTTACTAGTTAAATTTTTAAGAATTGAGTCTTTGGGGTTTGTTTCAGAGACTGACTAAAAATATTCACAGTTTGAATAAACTAACTGTTGAACAGTTTTGAGTTTTTTGGATGTTCAGACTATCTTATGCTTTAATTGTTCTGTTCAACAGTCTTCCACTTATTTCCAAAAGGCTTTTATAGGTTTGAATTGTTCTGCATTGGCTAGTTGTCTATACTTAATTGGTTGGTTGCAGTTGGGATTTTATTTGATTTACTCCTATAAAGCCACGAGCAAAGGAGCGTGCAACTCTGTTTGACAGTCTAATGGGACCATCGCTCTGCTCAGAAAATGATAAAGACATTAAATCGTTAACGAATTATTTTAAGAAACATCTGAGTTGGATGACGGGAAAATAAGAAGGTCGCAGCAATCCATTTTCCCGAATTGTTCTGTAGATTTTGCTAAAATGAAGAGTGCCACAGGAACTGTGAACAACTCACCGATGCCTCTCATCCTGGCATATGGGAATCTATTGATGCGACAAAAAGTAACAGCCTAACGCATTGGAAATAGAACATGTGATAAAACATAAAATACAAGTGAGCAGGATCATGCATTAGACTGGCTGTTGGGGATTATGAAAAAAAACAGACCCATGCCGGACTATTTACACGGAGTAGCACACAATTTGAATTTGCGTATCTCTATTTTAATGCTCTCTCGAATCACCCTTATTAATCCTGTCCTTTATTGATGTGAGCTTTTTCTGACAGTACCCTTTGTGTGTTTCCTTATTGAACGATTCCCTTTTTCTCGAAAGTCAGTAAATATCCATTGATTTTTATTTTCAGTTACACGTAATACCGTACCACATATATTTACAGGCTAACTTGAATAGACTTGAAAAGTTATATTCAAAAGTAAAGTAAGTTTTTGGATGAAGTTTGGCTGTGTTTGCTTTGACATGTTCAGGGGTATTTTATGTATGTATAATTAGTTATCAGTAAAACATCGTTTCTGTTGTTTGTTAAGACAGTCAACTTTATCATGCATGAGGATAGTGTGACGTGTCTGTGAAATAAACGTCAAATGGAGAGTAGCAACAGGATTTGTTGTTTAGGAAAGATATGTTTATTCTACGAATTTATGGATTCATACACGTATTACTTGAGGTGGTAATATTTAAACTAAGTGATATTCTCTTATCGTCTAAATTACTCACCCTTCAAGGTGAATTAGGCGTCATTCACAAGATCTCAAGGCCAACGTGGGGTATTATGCGGTTAATTTTTAGTTGCGATACTTATTTTATTTATTTTTATTTGGACACATGAATATTGGTACAAGAGAGCGCCAATATATATGCGCCACACAGAACAATGAATATTCGAAGAGGAATACAAAGAAAGAAAAAAAAAGAAGCTAAGGAGCACAAAAAAAAGAGAGAACAATAACGAAGAGATTGGTGTAAGGTAATGTGCTAGTAAACAGGGAACGCAAAGGTACAATCGGAAGGAATCTTTCAGGTAAGGGAGACACAACCACTTTTTATGAAGAAAGTAAAAGAAGGTTACAGCAGGATCGCCACTGGCTTCTATTCTGAGCCATATCTGATAACGTCTCTAGCCACTGTGTAGCACCATCTCTCGGACCCCAACCAGGGAGTCGTGAAGGACCGACACAATCCAGTCCTTTGCAGCTTTCTTTCATACCACGACACCATGTCATGCACTGACCACCTCTCCGCTTCTTCCAACCAGTTCCAGAGTCGGCAAATAATGCACGACGTGGAATTCTCTGGGACGACATTCGTAGAACATGTCCAAGCCATCGAAGTCGGTGTTTCAAGATGGTGACACCAATTGAATTATCATCTCTATGCCCGAACACACGATGCCGAACCTCTGCATTACTGACATGGTGTTGCCACTGAATGTCAGCAATCCTTCGGAGACAGCGATGATCGAACACAGAGAGTCGTCTAACGTCCTCAACTCGGAGAGGCCAGGTTTCACAAGCATAGAGCAGAACTACTCTCACCGACGCGTTGTAGATCCGACCTTTTACAGCCAGACTAACGTCACGAAGGCGCCAAAGGTGGCCCAGATTGGCATAAGCCGCTCTGGCTTTCACTATTCGTGCATTGATCTCATCACTCACACCCCCACCAGCACTTATGCAGCTACCCAGATACACGAACTTCTCGACTACTTCTATCTGCTCACCATCCAGAGTGAGTACAGGATTAGGATCCTGACAGTCTTGTAGAAGTACTTGGCACTTCGAAGGTGCAAAGCACATACTATACCTACGGACACTGATTGCCAACTGGTCAAGTGCGGACTGCATGACTTGGGCATCATCTCACAGTAAGACAATATGATCCGCATACTCGAAGTCGAGAAGTCTTTCTCCAGGCAACAGATCCACACCACCATTACTTACATCCATCAGAGCTGTTTCCAGAATGTCATCGATGGCAAAGTTGAAGAGGAATGTTGAGATTGGGCAAACCTTGCCTAACCCCACTGCTTGAATAGAACAATGGAGAGGGGTGGTTGTATGCCCCCACTGTGCCTGAGGTGTTTGTATATAAGGCCTTTACGATGTTAATAAACTTCTCAGGCACACCCTTCTTCAATAGACAATCCTAGAGAACAATCCTGTCCAACGAATCGAAGGCAGCCCTGATGTCAAGAAACACTACGATTGTTGGCCTGTGATGTGTATGACGGTGTTCTAACATTTGGCGGAGGGTGAAGATATGATCAATACATCCTCGACCAGAACGAAACCAAGCTTGCTCCTCACGAGTCAATCTTTCTCGGGTTTTGAACAACCTACGAAGTATGACGGAAGCCAATAACTTGGACGCGATCGGAAGCAGACTTATCCCCCGATAGTTGTTACAGGAACGACGTGAACCCTTTTTAAAGATAGGGACAACTATCGACTTATTCCATGACGTTGGTACACTCTCTAGTTCCCAAACCTTGGTAAACAACGTCGTCAATTCCTTAGTCAAAAAGTCACCACCATCTTTAAAAGAGCCGGAGGTAAGTCATCTGGGCCAGGTGATTTGTAACGCTTCAAGAGTTGGAGTTCCTTGCGGACTTCCTCCTCGTTTGGTGGATCAGTCGTCACCGGCCATGGAGGGCAGGACAGTCTAACCGATGTTGCCGGAGCAGCAGGCCAGTTGAACTGCCCTTCGAAAAATTCTGCCCATCGTCCAAGACGTCGATGGATGTTAGTGATTGGCATCCCATCATCCTCGCAGATTGTTTCACTCACACCAGACTTCTTGCTGCCAGTGGCTCGGATGAGCTGGAAGAGCTTCCGGTAGTTACCAGATGCAGCTGCTGCTTCCAGCTCATTAGCACGCTCCGACCACCAGGCTTCTCGGTCCTTACGCAAGCTTTGCCCAATTTCCTCACGTAACTTCCTTCGTTTATGGTCAAACTCACGGTCACCTGGAGTAGACCGACGGGCTTCAATGAGTTGTAAGGAACCAGAAGAAACCCAGTGCTTAAAAGCGGGACGTTTCGCAAACCCACAACTGACTGTTCCCGCCATTTTCATGGCGTCATGCAATTGTAACCAATGCTCATCTATACTTTTCGGTGGAGTAGTAGCTAGCCTAGAGGCTAGCTCGGTTCGATACTTACTTGCAACAGAAGTTGCAACCAGCTTGCTAACATCAATCTTTTGGTGGTGGTCACTTCGTTGGCCACTGAAAAGTAAGGCAAGATTGGCGCAGACCAAGGCATGGTCAGAGTCCAGATAGGTACTCCAAAAGGAGCGGCAGTCTTTTACACAACCACGCCAGCGGTAGCTGATCGCGATGTGATCAATCTGAGTCCAGGCTTGGGATGCAGAGGGAGGACGCCAGGTGGCACATCGGCGATGACTGTGCCGAAAGTTAGTGCTAGCCAGAAACAGGTTGTGGTCTGTGCACAGTTGCAGTAGACGGTCCCCGTTATCTGACCTGCGACCAACGAGTCCCCATCGGCCACCTAAACGACTCTCTTCTGTGCCTAGACGCCCGACCTGAGCATCCAAGTCTCCGGCTAGTACCACAATATCTGTCGAACGCACTTTCTGGAGAAGAACTGATAACTGGTGGTAAAACTCATCCTTGATTGCATCCGGGCTGCAATCTGTCGGAGCATAGGCGGAGATGACGAAAAGACATCGTTTCTCACGCCGATTTCTTCTCACTTTGATGGAACTTTCTAATCTAACAGCACATAACCGACTGTTAATGGGGATCCAATCGACTAGTGCTGCCTCAGCTCTAGCGCTTAGTGCGACACCAACGCTAGCAAGACCAGACGAAGATGCCACAGGGTCCCCGGATAAGCGCACGTAAAACAAGCTTTTTGAAGTGACAGATGGAGAGCGAATTTGTAGTACTTCACCAGAGTCTTGAATACGGGTCTCGGATAGACGGCAGACATCGATATTAAGACTTTCCAAAGACATAGCCAGCCCTATCTGTTGACCAACCTGCATAAGTGTGCGAACGTTGAAGGCAGCCAGTTTGAATGGCGCGCGTGGTTTCAGAAAAACTGCTTCAGTACTCATATTCGATGGTAACATACAATTTTCGACCGGACAGTGACTCGAGAACGTTTAGATACAGTCGGATTTCCACCAAAGACGAGCCGCTGTATAAGTATAAAAGAGGGTGAATAATGTGGAAAATAATAATAATAATAATAATAATAATAATAATAATAATGACAATAATAGTAATAATAATAGTATTAATAATGACAATAATAGTAATGATAATTATTTGAATCGATTGACTGTTTTTCGGAGCGAGAAAAGTAGTTGCCATAGACATAGAGTTCATCGTTTGTGTGTGGGCTGTGATACTGCCCGGGTGCCCAAACCGAAGCAGGTGGTTTCCCTGGGAGGCCACACCCCGAGCCTTTGACCTAAAGGTCTAACCCACAAGGCAGTGGAGCATCGTAAGGAGATGCAATCCCATGGTAGCCGGTGACCAAAGATTGGTCCATACGCCATTTGTTCCCGCAGGATACTGGAGCCCATGTGCACCATTGATTTGGAATCCGGTTAAAGCGCCGAACATTCGCTTTTTGTCCTCTCATTTTCGTAAACAACACCCCCGCCACGAGAAGGCAATGAGTAGGACTTCCCTGACAGAGGCTGTATACGCGCGGCCGTGTGAGAGTATTTCGAGAGGGAGAGCGGACTCACCCCACTCTCGACCGTACCAGGGCATTCGGGGGCGATACTACTACAATCTCTACAGATATAGTAATTTTGATGATTAAGAAAGTGTGAGTCCTTGGTTCCTCTGAAAAGTTATTGCTCTTATATTCAACATACGAAAGTTTTATTGGTTGCATTATAATTACAAATTACAACTTTGATGTTAATATATAATAAATAGAATATGACTAACACTGTAATACAGGACGCACTTTTCTTATTTATGTCTCATCAGCTGGATATACTCTTGCAAAATTGATCTATTTTATATTAACTTTTGTCAATGGCTATATCGAGGCGATTCTCACAGGATACACGTACGTCGAAAAGAGACTGAACAAATTTCAGTTAAAACACGGAAAACATGGTAATCCAAACCATTTGAAGTCCAGTCATAACTTTCAAGTTGTTCTTTAGTGAAATAGATAAAACATCTTTGTCGGTAAATAAAATGGTTAGTAACAGAATGCTAATGGGACATAGATCTGATTAAAGCATGCTCAATTCACGATTGCTTTGGTGCACGCTGATTGGCTAATTCTTATCCAAACAGCGTTAGCCAATACTTAGTGAACACTAGAAATCTCATGTGAAAAACTATAAATATACTAACGTTTTCCCTATTGCACTTACTTGCTTCTTCCTTCCATCTAACCTTGTTATTTGGAATATGATCTCTTTTCCTGTACAACCGTGTTCTGATTTGGGGGACTTGTCGAGTGAATCGATGTCCGAGAATACTAAGCAATAGGAATAGCTGGGTTATAACCGTAAGAGAGGATTATAACAACTCTACAATCTTCTCATGTAAAAACTATAAGTATACTAACGTTTTTTTAGTTGCGCTTCTTACTTCCATCCCACCTTGTTATTTGGAATATAATCCCTTTCCTGTTCAGTCGTGTTCTAATTTGAGGACTTGTCGAGTGGATCGGTGTCCAAGAATACTAAGCAATAGGAATAGCTGGGTTGTAATAAGAGAGAATTATAACACAGGATGTTTTAGATACGATTTCTGAGTGTAATAATTTTGTATATCTACATCATTTGTAAGTCTTCAGTTAGTAAAAGCACTGACCATATTTACAAATAAGTATTTTGATCAGGATTGTGTAGCGTGGACTACGTAGTTATGCTTCTGAATTTAAGTTTAGATTGTCTAAAATCATACGCTGAGTTTTGTATACAGAGGTAACCATCAAAGTTGAAGAAATATCTGGACCGCAGCAGGACTTAGATAAGCGACCTCTAGGTAATCCATTCACTATTATATCAATTGAGTTTCAAGACTTAACTACTCATCATGTCTCAATTTCACAGAAAATTTGGGTAGAACATTTGATATTTTCATTACTATTTTAGGTGTTGTTCTGTGTGCATTTAAAACTACTCCATGATCTCAGATGTACAGATGAAATCTAAATCATCCAAATCTGTCCTCAATCATAAACAATGCATAGATTTTTCGTTTTGTCATTTATTAATATGTAAAATCCCGGCACTTTCGGCATAATTAATCACTACATTACACAAATATATAAAATGCGTAAAATAGTTTGGTGGTAAATAACTAGGTAACTAATATTAAATTCGGACTACTTATATTTAGTTACCCTCCAATAGGTAAATTGAAATGACGATAAAGCAATGAGACGGAGTTGATTAAAATAGCTCCGTCTTCTGATTACTCTATAGAAATTTATAAAACGGACTAACTGCTTTTAATTGAAATGAATTACTTCATTCTAAACAACTAACTGTAACTATGATATATTCTGGAGAGTTTGTAGATTCGAACTGTCCAATTATCTCACAGTTCTCATCTGGATTTGTAATTTACTAACAACTATAAGATTAAGACAACAACCCCCTATTTCACTGAATTACTATAAAAACAGAATGATTTGCTTATTCTTATCGATCGTCTTTGTAATGTCTGTTTTCAAAATGTTTTTAACTATAATCACACAAAATATACATGTTTAATTTGTTTTGAACAAGTAAACCCTAATTCTATTCGTAAATTTTATTATTCTCTCTGCAATGACCAGTCGACGGAGGGAATGTTAGTTATAACCTAAATTTTCAAGCTATCTCAGAAAGAAAATGTTCATAAAATGGTAAAATCAATTTGTAAATCCTTTTACAATCTAGGATTAGACTGTATCAGTGAAGTTTGGAATTTGTAATTTGTTTACATGTAGAAATATTGTGTAGGAAAACTCATTACATATATCAGAAATACATATATATCATTATAAATAAATAGGCAAACAAATCATGTATTGAAACTACAAAATTTCACTGATTAGTCTTGTTAAGTCTCCTTATTCCACCTAGTGCATTGGGACAATCGACTTTATCTGACTGGTTTCTACATCAAAACACATCTTTGTTAAAGCACAAATATATTTCAAACAAAACAATAATTTAGGTTACAAAATGTCAGTGTACATATAAATTTCACACAAAAATATTCTCGAGTTAGAAATAGACCAATCAGTCTGCTCCAACATAACGTTGTTTGAAACAAACTTCGAACAGGTTACTGTCTTATTAACATGTCTTTTACATTGAGCATTCTCTTACTTAGCCCTTAATAATTATTACTAAAATCCTCAACTGACTTCTGTACTGATTACATAATTACATCATCAAGTCAGATACATTATTTTCCACTAATTTTTAATCGACTATAACATCTAATAAGGATTAAGTGTTGGCTATTTGTAAAACCGTTGTGATACATTTTTGTGGATATATTATTTATTACTCGAGCGATAAATACTGAGAAGGAATTTTCGATTTTAGTTTATGTCGTCCAGCAGATTTATCATCTTCAATCGACCAGAAGAATTTTTTAGAAGATTTATGCAACGTACTGAAGTAAGTTTCGGTATTTTAATTTGTAGCAGCATTTATTCCTTTCATTGTTTATGAATTCACAAACGTGTTTCATTGGTCCAAGCACATAAGTGTCAATCACTGGTTTATTGTCAATGTAGAACTTTACAGTTTGTGTATATCACTTTGAGGGTCCTTGCAAATTGGTCCGTTCAAAGAACAGAATTTATTCATAAAGGCCTTTAAAACGGAATGTTTTACACTTCTTCATTCTCTTGTTTGGCTTTACAAACTAACTTTCACCGATCTCTGCTGATTTCAGTGTTTGGTGTGAATTCCTTTGGAAACTAGGAATGAGTGCAAGTGTAATAAATTTCTAATCAGTTCTGAAAGGCTTTCATTCTAACTGTTATCTAAGATTGTACTAAAAATGTTCTTTTCAAACATAGTCCTTTCTATTGTTTATTTTGCGTATATTCCTTGTTTGAGATATTTCCTGTCACGTATGTTGAATTTTTATTACTTGAATTCATGAGTCGGTGTAAGCTAGACCACCATTAAAAACCTGGAAGCACTAGGCGGCCATTTTGTCCTTATCCGGGTCTTCTCAACAGTGAACACCCACGATCCCTCATGTGGGACTCGAGAGCAAACGCTTAACCTCTCGACCATTGAGCCGTCATCCAATGGTATTAATGTCTAACTTCAATCTATCCATGATCTTGCGCAAGCATTCATCCATTGTTTGAGGTAGATACCTGTCTCTACCCGACACGGACTGGACTCCACTGGTCACGGCTTCTCACTAGAACTCCAGGAAATCTATCTTGAATCCAGTCACTAGTAAGCACATGCAGTTTTGTTTAGTTGCGGTGATATTCTTCAGTTGAAACTGTACATAAGCTTGTCCCTCAAACCGTGCCAGAAAACGTTTATTCACATTTTTGAAATAAACAATTGGAGCAGATGAATCACTGAGCATACTTATGAATAATATTTTGCCGCGATGATCATTTCCAAATAAATACTTCCATTCAGTTAATTTTTTTGTTTTACCAAATAAATTTTGTCCATCAAATCCTTTTTAAGGAAACGAATCGATCGAGAAAATACAATAAATCAAAGACTAAACAATGAAATTACACACCTTTCTAAGCAGATGGAATCCATGAAACTTGAAAATCGGAGTTTGTATATTACCGTAGCACAACTGAAAAAGGACCAAGTTGGTTTAAATAACATGCATTCAGAAAATATGGTAAATGTCAATGCTTTATTTGTATAAATTGTATGAAAGGACTTCACTGAAATCATGCACCGATCAATGTTAGACCACTATAAAAAAAACCTGGAATTTCCAGGTGGTCTAACATTGATCGGTTTATGATTTAAATGGAACTCAACAATTTCCACAACCCTATACTTATATTAAAGAATGTTTAAAAGTAAATCACTGTTAAATTAACTTCGTACTATGTCTTAACTACAATCTTGCCAGTTTAAAACAAACGGACGTTTAGCACCGATATTAGGGTACAATATAACCACCACTTAATGCCAAATTTAATCTTCTTAATAGCTTACGATTACTCAGTACATATCATACATATCCACCAGTTAATTTTGAATTGACTTATTATAGACTGACTATACTTCACTTCTGTACACCCCGATCTGTTTAAAAACTTCGTTTTATCACTTTGTTCCAAGTCTCCCAAAATGTTATTTACTAGTTTTGTTTCATGGAACATTTTTAATACTTAGTCCTACTAAGCTTCTGTTTTAGTTTTTTCGTCACTGATGAAGAAAATGTGTGGGTGGTAAAAATGTTTCTCAATTCCATGACTTATACGTACATTCTAGCTGTACAGAATATTCAAATGGGTGCTAGAAGATTTACTACTAGTATAAGGATTCAATAGTGGTCGGACAAAAAATCTAATCTAAACAGCTTTATATAACATTTGGATTGTTTGTTACGCATCTTTAGTCACTCAATTAAAATATCTGTTTAACTTCCTATTTAATGAATCGACTCTTTATACGAAAAAAACGTTTGTAATTTTAGTTTATCACTATATCGGACAAATGTTTCGAAAATGATACTGATGATTTTTGTTAGTAAACCATTCTGCTAAGCTGTAGAAAATTATTTGGTCAAATTTCCTGCTAATTGAACAATTTGCGATATCATTTCATTATTTGGGCACTTCACACATATCATTTGACTTAAACAGACAACTATCATCGGCCAGTGGTTGTGTCCGGAGTTAAGCCACTAAGGCACATGTCCACGTACTTCAGTATGTACAACCGGATATTTTCATAAGCTCTCGTATATAATGTGACTCGAAGTCAAGTGTATAAATTTCTAGTCGGTAAATGAGTTAGGTACTCTGAAATATCTGGTGTTGCTGATATAGTGAGGTTTTTTCGGCTAGGAAAGATGATCTTACTGACGTTGTGTGTTTAAAAGTTGCCTGGCCTCCTTTGTAATTTTTCAGTCCGAAGTTCCTCTCTTTTCTTGGCCGGATTTATACCCACATCTGTTGAGATCCAGTGTCGCTTTTCCTTCTGTTCTGTTAGTAGATCGGTGCTTGTTTTGTGTTTCTTTATCATCCTCTCCTCCATTTCGCTGTATTGGAATTAGGAAATATTTCGTTAACAATAAGATAATTTTAAGTTTCCTTCTTCTGTATTTCTGAATTGGTGTAAAGTAAATTAAATGGGATAAATCCTTTACGATATATGGGTTTATGGTAGAAGTTCTAAATCCAACTCATCAGGGTTTATGAGTGTATGACTAAATACGACTCCTAAAATAAAACATGTATAGCAGTCCAGTTCAAATTTAATGAGTTTTTCTGAAAACTACATTTAAGTTTACTGTAAGATTATAGTCCAGCAGTTAGAAGTACTTTAATTTTGTAATAATAAATGCTCTGTTATTTAATTCCCCATCCATTTATTGTGTATTTCAATTATCTAGGAAGCAGTGAGTCGCATAAATCAATTAGAGTCTGAATTAAAAAATTGCCAAAAGACAAATGAAGAAAATGCTGAACTTGTTGAATCGATTCGAAGTCATTTAGATGAATCAAATAAAAGATGTAATCAGTTAACTCGATATTTATTCGTAAGTGGTTTGCTTTATTTTCTGCACAGTAGAGTCTAACTTTTTCTGTGAATGATATTATGAAAAAATCGTTGAAAGGAAGTCATAGATTTGTTCACAGATCTTACTCTTTTGTGAATACCATCTGGATTATATTTTTTGAATTCAAAATTGAACAACCAAGTGTTGTAGCTCTACAGGTAACACGATGTTCTCTGGTATTATAATTCTCTCTTATCGCACTCCAGCTATTCCTATTGCTTAATGTTCTTGGACACCGATTCACTCGACAAGTCCTTAAATCAGAACACGGTTGAACAGGGAAGGGATTATATTCCAAATAACAAGGTTGGATGGAAGTAAGAAGCACAATCGAAAAAAAGTTAGTATATTTATGGTTTTTACGTTAGGAGATTGTAGTGTTCTCCAAGTATTGATTAGCAGTGATTGGATAAGAATTAGCCAATCAGCGTGCAGCAACGCAATCGTGCATTGAGTATGCTTTAATCAAATCTATGTCCCGCTAACACCCGGATATGCATATACACTGGTGTTAAATATCGTTAATCGCTTAGCATTAAATGTATTTCTTTAGTCTCTGGGATTTCTTAACCTAGTAGAATCTCAGAATACACGACTTTAAAGAATCAAGTCACTACTCAGTAAGTAATTTGTCTGGATTCTTATTTTACGTGAATTAGAATTACGACTATAATTCAACTGTGGATTTTCACAAAACGCCATCATTACCACATCCTCTTGATTCTGACGGTAATGTCAATTATTCCTTAACTTGTCCCATTATTTTAAATCGCGTGTTGCTTCATCAGTTTTTTTGCCCGTAGTCTTACCACCCGGAGGCTCCATGCCCCCAAATGCCCTGGTATGGCCGAGAGCGGGGTGGGCCCGCCCCCCTCTCAAAATGCTCTCACACGGCCACGCGTATACAGCCTCTGCCAGGGAAGTCATGATCACTGCCTTCTCGTGGCGGGGGTGTTGTTTACGAAGATGAGAGGACAAAAAGCGAATGTTCGGCGCTTTAACCGGATCTCAAACCAATGGCGCATATGGGCCCTAGTATCCTGCGAGAACAAATGGCGTATGGACCAATTTTTGGTCACCGGCTACCATGGGACTGCATCTCCTCACAATGCTCCACTGCCTTGTGGGTTAGACCTTTAGGTCAAAGGCTCGGGGTGTGGCCTCCCAGGGAAACCACCTGCTTCGGTTTGGGCACCCGGGCAGTATCACAGCCCACACACACACAAATATGGTGTGGCGCATATATATTTGGTGCCCTCTTGTACCAATATTTATGTGTTGAAATAAATAAATAATAATAATAAGTGTTACCATATGTTATTTAGTAAATATGACACATTTTTAACAATTCTATAATCGCATCATTACTTATTTTATTGATTGAGTCACTCATCTGAATACATAAATACTGCGACAACTGGGCATCAAAATAATTGTTCACCATACAAACAAGTGAATGAATTCTCGAAGAAATAAATGATGAAAAGTGAATCTAGTCCAAAAAATAATTATGCGAAAATAAATGAACAAAACTGGTACATAATGAAAGAATCAGTTCATTTAGATAACAACCTGAAAGGATTCTCTCAGTTAAGTGAGTTTCCTTTCCTCCAACGGTTCCTATTATGAGCCATGTCTGATAACGTCAAAATTCGTTGAGTTGTGCTATCTCTGAGAGCCCAACTAAGGTAGTCGTTATGGACCAGCAGGTGATATGCCCATGAAGCTTTCTTTCATCTCACAGTTTCATGTCATAAACTGACTACCCTCTTTTTCTGACCAATCCCAACGTCAGTAAACAGATCAAGATGTTGAGGTCGCTCTGATGACGTTCGTGGCACTCATTTGAGCCACCGTAGCTGGTGTCTCTAGGCAGTGACACCAAGTCAGTCGTCGTCACTGTGCTCGAACACACACTGTCCAACCTTCTCACTACTAACGTGGTGTTTCCACTGAATGTTAGTTATCCCCATACAGTAAGACGATATCATCCAGATACTGGAAATCAAAAAGCCTTGCTCCAGGTAACAGATCTACATGTTTACTGCCATCAGAGCTGCTTCCGGAATCCTGTCAGTGGCAAAGCTGAGGAGGAATACTGCGATTGGATAAGCTTACCTTACTCCGCTACCGGAATGGAAAAATGGTGAGAGGTGGTTGTATGTCTTCACTTTATCTCAGTTGTCTGTGTACAGAGCCTTCAAGATGTCGACAAACCTGTCATCTACATCTTTTTAAGACAGGCAATACCGGAGTACACTTCGTTCAAGGAGTCTAAAGCGACCATGTCATCACTCATATTACTTCGCTAGAGTTTTGAACACCTGCCCCGAAGATGCAGCAGATGTCGACATCACAACTTTGTAAACAAATAACCAAACGTATGTGTTATCTGGTCTGCATTCAGGTGGGAACGTTGGAGGTCAGTTTAAGTAATACACGTAGTTTCAGAAATGCTGATCCAGATTCCGTATTTGGTGGCAACATTCCAAATTTCGACCCGTTGGCAACCTGAAATAGTTTAAACAGTACAAACCTTCAACCAAAAAATCGACTATTTGAAAGTTAATAAAACTATTAGGTTATGAAAGCCCATTTTTATGGACTGTAGTAATTTGGACTCATTCTCCGACATTTATTTTGTACAGGAATATGATTGTTTTAAAACACTGTCGTGGTATATAAATGTTACTATCTATTTATTTTCAAAGTATACATTTTGTTATCTAAATACTCATATTTTGTGAAAGAGAGGCAAACAAGTCACTCGTTAGGTTATTTTTCATTTAGAATATTAAACCGAAAATTCATAAGCTTATCATTGCATATTAATAAATGTCTGTAGATCCATGTGTTGTGTAACTATATTTAATCCAATGTATAACCATTTGACCATTGGACTGGTTTCTAAAACAAAATTTCTTAAAAACTGTACTTGTTATAAATGTGTAGTGAATCCAGTAAGATGAGTTCACTTCATCCTATAATGTTCGTGAGTTTATATATTATTACTACCATCATTTTTAACATGTTCAGTTTCACGAACTCGCAATCTAAATGTACTTTATTTCTTTTTTTCTATAATTAATTGTTTCAGGATTCCCAGTCGTCACTTGAACATAAACAAACTATAATTAAACAATTAGAAGCTAAGTGTAAAGGAATGACAAATATGATTGAACAGATGAACGAGAGGTAAATATGGATAACAAATCTGTTTTATTAAACCTTTGTCCATGAATTACTGGACTCAAAGCAAGCTATTGTTTTGTTAATAAAATTATATTAAGTATTAGTTTTTTATTGTTATGTTACCCTGGTTTGTCATTATAGATTCACCCAAAGTAAATTTCGATGGATGAGAAACACAACTGGTTCTTTAAAACCAGAGTTTCATGAAGATGATTACCGTTAAGAAATATGTATGTATAAGCTTGATTAATCATCTGTTTGATTTTTATTAAAACACTATGGTGCACTTTTGTAAACATCTAATTTGTGGTTGTGAGTGTATGAAGTCTTTTTCTCTAATCCTACGCATTTTTGTTGTCACTTTTTCCTTTATGTTTTTGAGATTCAGTTCACTCAGTTGTTGATCAACATTTGCTTTCTGCATATATTGTCTGTTTATACCGGATTTATGTATGAATTTAGGATTCAATAGATTAGGAATTGAACAAGTATGTTTACATGTTTGAATCATATTTCATTTGCATAACTTTTGGGCAATCAGATAGTATGTATTAGTCTCTTGCAATATGTGATTTAAATGTACACAAATTATCGCTTACTTAGTGAGCAAAATTTTTAGTTTCCCAAACTATATTTGACTCTAATTTAAACTCCGATAACTTGGATAACTGAAACACCATTAGGATATAAGAAACTGGACATCTTTTCTTTCATAATACTCAACTCAAATGTTCAGCTTATCCTTCAATTCGCATGGTCTCATAATTGAGTCTAATTGAAGCTTCCTGGATTATAATTTTTGTTAATATCTGGAAAAACTCTGAGTACGAAGAAATATTATACAGCTGTTTCATCCATAAAGTTATGAACTGACGGTTTGAGCTGTATGAGGAAACTAAGCGTACTGTTTTAGGCTCATTTAATGGTTTTAATCTACTGTTGACTTTGTTAAGCGATATGAGACATGATGATTTATTGGTTACAGCTAGTAACTTTTAACCACTAGTTCTGAAATGCAAACCTCGCAATAACTACTTTGGTTTGCGACAATTGTATACTATCAGAAACTCACGCAAACACTGTACCTCGAAGCTGACCGCTTAATCCTGTAGTTGGTAGATAAGTCGCGTTAGTTTAAGGATTGACATATTGCAAAACTGATTACAGTAAGTGCAGATTCGTTTATTATTTTTCCCATAAATTGTGAGTTCTAGCATCGACTTATGTTTCTTACTTATCGTTTTGTTTTGTTTTTTCGAAATATATTTCCTATCTTATTTCACTGACTCCATCGAGAACACAATTTCAACTCTTTCACCTTAAATCTTATTCTCCTTACACTGATGATGCGTAATGTTACTACTTAAACCAATGCAAATTTATGTCTATTTCTACGTTCTCTATGATTAACAGACGAAACAGTAGTGTATTTATGAAGGCTTAAGTAATAAATATTATGTAATCCTAATAACTAATATATATATATATATTCCGTTTTTTATTTAATAGTTTTTCCCCTTTTTGTTTACACTTAGAATAGCTAAGCTTACTAATGAAAAGGTTTCACAGGAACGAGATTTATATAAACTACGCGAAGAGTTGTCAAACGCAGACACAAAATCTGTTGAGCAGTTAAAAGTGATTGAAAATCAAGCTAGTCAGATCGAAAGATTAAAAACTGAATTGAATGAGCAAACAATCGAGTTGAATAATTCAAAGATGGCTTCTGACCAGCTAGTTTTGTGTAAATTAGTAAGATTAATTAATTGTATACATTTTAATATTACAGTCATTATTTCTATTCAATAAATCCTATTTCAGTGATGATCATTCATTGTGTAAGTTATGCTAATGTCAGGAGAAAACTTCACTAAAAACATGCGGTTTGTTTACTTTTTTTGCTTTTGTGTTCTAAACAAGTGTATTACTTTCTTCTAAAATTGATGTGCATGAAGTTATAGTTTGAAGCTTGATGGATTGTGGACCTTTCATGCCATAAAGTCACCCGTATTCAGCTTAGATCCTGGCTCAAATGTGCGTTTGATTAAGTTGCTACACTACTTTAGCACAAGGAGATGAAGTTAACACGTTAAATAACTAGGGAATGGAAGTGATCGATTCTGAGTCATTTAAAGTCTCCAGCCACTAATTCCAGTTACCGGGTAAACCCTAACCAGGCATTTTGGACCTGCCAACAGGGTCCAGACAAACGATTATGGATAATGTCATGTTTTAGTTTAGCTACTCCTACATTTCTTCCAGCTTACTCCTACACTAGTTAACATTACAAATCGAGGTAAGTGATGCTTAGTCATGGGCAGCATACGAAAATTTACAGTCTCATCAACCTGTTTGTTACCTTTACGTAGTACCTTTTGTGTAACTTCAATATTACTCACTCTGTTTTTCAATGAAATGCCAGTAGTTCCTTGAAGACATCTTTGATCATATATCCTTGGTTTAATTAAGAGAACCTTCGTAACTACTAGGGTTGTTTTCCAATATTAGCAAATTGAGGATTTGCTTGATTTACTTTTTTTTCTCAAAGAACAGTAGTGGTTCTTATCATTCATTATTCATTGTAGATTTTGTTTTCCTTCTGCACACTAGTTGTTTCTTTCTCTTCCTACGTACAGATTTTGATGGCTTCTAATCTATCAATGTTTTTCAAATGAGAGATCTGTATGTAATGACAATGAATTATCAATATCAGTCTCAAAAATTCATCCTTTATCAGTGGTCTTCCCAAAAGCTTTATGGTAATTTAGAGATTTATTCAGTCAGCTTGTTACGTCAACTCATCGGGCTTTCTCTTCAAGTTTAATCTTATCTGCAAAGCTTTTTTACTGACAGTGTCTCGTTAAGTGAAGACATCCAGTTTTAAGAACTATTATAATATTTGTCTCAGTGCTTTCATTTTTTTCGAATTTATTTATCGTACATTTCTTTTCATAAGTAGTATTTGTGTTTTTACCAAGACCTTTAGATATTTTTCAATTTACTTGGAAGAATGTTAAATTTTGAAGATAGATGAACTGTGTGATCTCAGTAGTTTGACACATAACCTCTCAGTGTATAGATAATTTGGGAGGTTAATTTAATTTACTTTGCATCTAGTTTCGTCTAAATTGATTAAAAATCTATTTTAATTTGTTTTCATGTTCCACCCTCCTATGGTATTATGTACTGTCAACTAAATGATGGCTTAAGTCAATTTTCTTTTCAAACCACAATATTCTTTACTTTGCTGACACAGAAAGTCTGTATTTAAAGATCAAACAAAAGGATATTCTCAGAATGGGTTTTGTGGAGAGTTTTAGAAATTTCACAGGTTGAAATCATGAGTCAATTGAAGCTAGACCACCATGGAAAACCTGGAAGCACTGGACGGCCGTTTCGTCCTAGTATGGGACTCCTCAGCAGTGCGCATCCACGAACCCGCCCCACACGGGATTCGAACCCAGGACCTACTGGCTTCGCGCGCGAGCACCTAATCACTAGACCACTGAGACGGCATCCAACGGTGTTAATGTCTAACTTCAACCGATCCACGAAGTTGCGCCACCGTACACCATTGTCTTCAGTGAGTTGTTATCTCACAACAGATCCCGCGTGGTGCGGGGTCGTAGATGCGCACTGCTGAGGAGTCCCATACTAGGACGAAACGGCTGTCCAGTGCTTCCAGGTTTTCCATGGTGGTCTAGCTTCAATCGACTCATGATTTCAACCTGTGAGAAGAATATTCATTCGATGTAGAATTTTCGCGAGATGTTAGATTTTAGTTTCTTTACTATTTCAGTTCTATTACTTATAGACCGGTTCATTTTATTGCTACGGTCACTCCAATTAATAATCACAACATGGATATTTCAGTTTTATGTCGATTTTCGAAATATTAGTTTTCGCTTTCTACTTTTTACTGTGAAGTTCATTATTTTTCACTGATAACTGTGGTCAAAGTTATTTTACAGCATTACATCATATGATCGTTCATTAATTTTTGCTTTCTAGGAAGTTGAGGAGTTAGACAAACAACTTAAAGTCTGGCGTAAACGGTGTGAAGAACAGGAGTATAGTTTATCCGAAATGGCTGCGGTTGTGAATTCGAGTAAGCTTGAAGCTGAAAGTTTGCGTGAGTCACATAGTGCATTCAGTGATGCTCAATGGGCAAATGATTCTGAAAATCCAAACTGTTTTCTTTGTCAGAGTCCGTTCAATGTTAGTCGTCGTCGGGTATGTTGTTTCTGTATGTATAATAATTAGAATTCCCATTTATTCGTAAGAAACAATTATTTCGAATATCTCTTCTTGTTGTGGGACCAATGATATGATAGTTACATACTGATTTATGGTACAAATCATAACGATGATGAGTTATCATTCTTGGATTGCTTAGTAAAAAGAAATCCAAATGGAATTCTGAACCTATCCATTTACCGAAAACCTACGCACTCAAATCGTTATATTGACTTTCATTCAGCACATCCTTTTAATGCTAAGATCTCGCTAGCATTAAATCTTTTTAGGAGAGCTAACAAGATCATCACATCAGAGGAAGACAAACAAAAGAATGTATTTAGCATCTTACAATTTAATAATTCTCCTATGAAGATTATCAGCAGTATATTAAAACAAGACAGTTTAGTACGTTATAATAATGATTCGAATGAAATGCTATGGATTGGTACTGCAGTTCTACCATACCGTCATGGCACAACAGAAGAACTTCAAAGAATCTTGAAACAACACAGAATTAAAGTATATTACAAAACAACGAACACACTACGAAATACTTTAGTTCGCCTAAAAGAAAAAATCCGGTTCTTGTCCACATAGAACCGCATCTACAAATTAGGTTGTATCGATTGTGATGCCTTCTATATTGGAGAGTCATCCCGCGAAATCTTGACTAGAGCCAAAGAACATATTAGGTACACAAAGAAACCTCCTAACAATCCTGTAGAATTGGATCAACTTCAAATTAAATCGGCAATAACAGTTCATGCCATTTTCAACGACCACCAAATTGATTTTAAAAACATCAAAATATTGCAAAAAGGCTTTTCCAACTACAAAGAAAGGAGGGTAGCTGAAGCGTTCCATATAATGCTTAATCTTACTTCTCTCAATAGAAAAGAAGGCCTCTCCATACATCCTACTTGGACCATCTATCCTAGCCATTCAGTCTGATCATATTTACAATTCACACTACCATATTACAAATTGAACTCTATCCTTTCTCACAAGTTGAAATCATGAGCCAATTGAAGCTAGACCACCATGGAAAACCTAGAAGCACTGGACGGCCGTTTCGTCCTAGTATGGGACTCCTCAGCAGTGCGCATCCACGAACCCGCCCTCCGCGGGATTCGAACCCAGGACCTACTGACTTCGCGCGCGAGCACTTAACCATTAGACCACTGAGCCGGCATCCAGCGGAGTCCTAGTGAGAAGTCGTTACCAGTGGAGTTCAACCAGGTCTGTTGTGAGATAGGAACTCACTGAAGACAATGGTGTACGGTGGCGCAACTTCGTGGATTGGTTGAAGTTAGACATTAACACCACTGGATGCCGGCTCAGTGGCCTAATGGTTAAGTGCTCGTGCGCGAAGCCAGTAGGTCCTGGGTTCGAATCTATCCTTTCTCATCATAAAGGTCACGCAATTTTTCATTCTTAAACAATGCACACATACATACACACAAATTTACATACATATCACTTATGAATCACCTAGACAGAAATGACATGACATTAACTTGTTCAGACCTGTTTTTGATTGATCAAGTATTATTCTTATTGTTCCGTTGTACTATTTAAACTTGGATTAATTTTACTTTGGTTATTTATTCTCTGAAGAAGTGACTTACACTAAGTCACGAAACGTCAGATAATGTAATTTTCTACTCATTGGGATTTTACAAATATATTATTTATATATGATTTTTAAGGTAGATTAAACCAGGTTTGAGTTTATGATTTTTGTGTCCAATTTAAACACTAAACCTGTTGAGTTTACACTTTGTAATAATTCCTTGTTGATGTTGACAATGCTGCTTTCGATGTATTGTCTGGTTGGCGTAGACATGACATTAAATAAAACACTAGTGACCTATGATTCCTAACAACAGATCATGTATCATAAATTTTATTGACTGGATTTAATTATTTGGTCACTAGAATCAGTTAGATACACTTCTAAATTTCAGTATCGGGTTGTGAAGGTTGTTGAATTTTGATTGAGATCATGAATGAACCAATGTTAGACCACCTCTGAAAACCTGGAAACACTCGATGGCTGTTTCGTCCTAGTATGGGACTCCTCAGCGGTGCGCATCTGCAATCCCACGTGCGCGACCATGAATACGTAGTTCTGAGGAGTCCCATACTTCTAAATATCTTCATTGATTCCATCGTAAATGGTTTGGACGACTTGGAAAATCTGACCTTTTTATCATATAACTAAAGAATATAAATGTTTTTCCGATTCTCGCCTTATATTTTCCAGTTTCTGACTACCTTTTATTTTCAAAAAATACAGTTTAATTATCCACTGTACATATTGTTCAACACGAACATAATGTAATGTACAATCAGATCTAACTCGGATAGTATCTGTTACCAACTATCATGAAATAACTTTATCGTTTTTCTATTATATGAATTACAAGGTGTCAGTCTACCATTTGTATTTTCTCAATGTCTTCCAAACATTATAACCCACCTATGGGATAATAAATCTCAAATAAACTCGAATAAAGTTCAACATGATGACAAGTTTATTGTTCCAACGTAGATTTACAAATAAATAACATTAAAATGTTCACTACTAAATCGCTAAAGATAAATGATTCATATACCTTGTTTTCTGACGAAAGATCTAGTCAACGTTTATAAATAACCGAAAAATCATGACTAATAAAGTGAAATGGTATATCTATCAAAACACACCATTTATACTCCTAGTGTATAACACTGAGAATTCGTGTTGTTAGCAAAAAGCGATCTATTCAGTTAACTGGCTACCACGTGAGAAAGTTACAATTTGTTCTCCCCACTGGTTTAGTTTTGATTATCTGATTTCTGTCATAATTTTTTCGCATCGTGCTCTTAATATGGCTTAGTAATATCAAACGATTCTTGCTCTCCTCTCTCTTGTCCCTTCTAAAATTGCATTTCAGGATTTAATTAGTTCCATTTTCTATTTTCCTAGCACCACTGTCGAAATTGTGGCCTGATATTTTGTCACGAATGTTCATCCAGAAAAATGGCTTTACCAAGTTCTGCCAAACCTGTACGAGTCTGTGATACATGCCATGGATTACTTTTACATCGCTATAATGCTAAATAAACCATAATAAATGGTTTTTTTTTGCAACAGTCGTAACAATACACTTTTCGGATAAATAATTGAAAAACATACTTTTTCAGGTCTGAGCATAATAAGCTAATGTGATACATTAAACTAATGACATTTATGTTCATTATGTTCTGTCGCATTTTCGTTTCTGGTTCCATCATCAATATTTCTTGTAACACATTTATTTCTTGATTTTTAAATGTAATTTCACTAATGTATGTATTGTCGTATAGCTCACTTCTATGAATTTTTTAATTCTTTCAAATAGATGAAATCGTAGTTATATTTTTATTGCTCCTATGCTTCAGTAGTTTATTAACCCGCCTTCGTCATTTCACCATTCATTCTATTTTGACGTGAAATAATTCTCGACTATAGTTTTTCCTCTAGCACCTTATTTGGAACAAATTAATGGTGGTTAGGTCCGTTTTCTTTTGTAGTATGATAATTTAAGTTTCAATTCCAAAACGCTCCCTCAAACACTTCTAAAACTGAAGGGTTTCTCACCAGATCATTCACACTTCAATTGTCTTTGTATAGGTTGATGGTAGCAGAACCGGACAACATTCCAGCAGGGGCACTAAAAGCAGACGTAGCGGCAACTGCAAGGATACTCCACATTCTCTTCAATAAGATTTGGGATGAGGAACAAGTACCAAAAGACTGGAAAGAAGGACTTTTGATCAAAATACCGAAGAAAGGCGATCTCAGCAAGTGTGATAACTGCAGGGGCATCACTCTTCTCTCAATACCGGGAAAAGTCTTCAACAGGGTATTGTTAAACAGGATGAAGGACTGCGTAGACGCCCAACTTTGTGACCAACAGGCAGGATTCCGTAAGGATCGATCGTGTACAGACCAAATCGCAACTCTACGGATCATTGTGGAACAATCAATTGAATGGAATTCATCACTTTACATCAACTTCATTGACTACGAAAAGGCATTTGATAGCGTGGACAGAACAACACTATGGAAACTTCTTCGACACTACGGCGTGCCTCAGAAGATAGTCAATATCATACAGAACTCATATGATGGATTACACTGCAAAATCGTGCATGGAGGACAGTTGACAAAGTCGTTCGAAGTGAAGACCGGTGTTAGGCAAGGTTGCTTACTCTCACCCTTTCTCTTTCTGGTGATCGACTGGATCATGAAGACGTCAACATCTGAAGGGAAGCACGGGATACAATGGACATCTAGGATGCAGTTGGACGATCTGGACTTCACAGATGATCTGGCCCTTCTATCCCAAACTCAACAACGGATGCAGGAGAAGACGAACAGTGTGGCAGCAGCCTCAGCAGCAGTAGGTCTCAACATACACAAGGGAGAAGCAAGATTCTCCGATACAACACAGAATGCACCAATCCAATCACAATTGACGGAGAAGATTTGGAAGACGTAAAAACCTTTACATATTTGAGCAGCATCATTGAGGAACAGGGTGGATCTGACGCAGATGTGAAGGCGCGGATCGGCAAAGCAGGAGCAGCATATTTACAACTGAGGAACATCTGGAACTCAAAGCAACTGTCAACCAACACCAAGGTCAGGATTTTCAATACAAATGTCAAGACAGTTCTACTGTATGGGGCAGAAACCTGGAGAACTACGAAAGCCATCATCCAGAAAATACAGGTGTTTATTAACAATTGTCTACGCAAAATACTTCAGATCCATTGGCCGGACACTATTAGCAACAACGTACTGTGGGAGAGAACAAACCAGATCCCAGCGGAGGAAGAAATCAGGAAGAAGCGTTGGAAGTGGATAGGACACACATTGATGAAAGCACCCAACTGCGTCACAAGACAAGCCCTCACATGGAATCCTCAAGGCCAAAGGAAGAGAGGAAGACCAAAGAACACATTACGCCGGGAAATGGAAATAGACATGGAAAAAATGAACAAGAATTGGATGGAACTAGAAAAGAAGGCCCAGGACAGAGTGGGTTGGAGAATGCTGGTCGGCGGCCTATGCTCCATTAGGAGTAACAGGCGTAAGTAAGTAAGGTTGATGGTGCACTCCTGGTGTATTCACATGTCTTAAGTATTAGTTATTCACATTTTTTATACAGTTATCTGCAATTTAGAACTTGGATCGCAAGAATTTGAACTGGATGAATTCAGTCGAGAATTTTTACCACTTGAGCCTTCACTTTTGAGGGTATAATCCCTGTATATAGTTGGTGGTTATTCAGTAACATTGAAGCTATGTTCTCTAAATCGGTCTAACGTCTTCGAGACTTGAAGATTTTACCCGGGTCTCTATCAGTTCATGGATGAACTGTATAACAGTAATTAGGCAAGAAATCTCTGAATTCTGATTTTCTCACTTAGCTAAGCTATGTGAATGCGCTAATATTGTTCGACGACCGTTTGACTGTGAATCGTGTGAAAAGGTAAACTGATAGTAACCTGCAAATTTAGATAAGTTATCAAAATCTATATAAAATGAGTTAGTTGCTAGTACCTATGTTATTACCCTCTGCACTGATATATGAATAGTTTCACTTGAAGAACGGCCCGAAAATATTACCTTCAGTGACCGTCCACACTGCTCATATATAGTCACGCGTTTTGAGCCTCTTCCGGGATACTCCTATTCACTGTTTTCATGTGACTGGAATGTATGTTTACAGAAGTGGAGTCTCACTAGCTGGTATTCAGCACCTATCTAGGATGGCTGATACTCAATGCTGTAGTAGACCGAATAAGATCAGGCTAAATAAATGGTTCCAACAGCTATCAATTATAAGTTAGTATAGGAACAAACTAAAAATAATTACAAAGCAGAGTTATTTGCAGCTTTGAGTAATATAAGTGTTGACATTGTTAAAAAATCTCCAAATTCAACATTCCACGTCCTGAATGTAAGTAGTTAGTAACGAGGCACTGAATTACTGGTCTGGCAAAAGATCAATTTCGATTTTCTTTAAGCGGTCAATAACATAATTAAGAAAAATGAGTGGACTTCTAATTATGGTGCATTGTGAACAATAATTAAGTGCACAAGAACATGGAAAGGGTCGATATAATTTGAACGAAAGTACTTTTAAAGGAAATATGAAAGGCATACAAATCTGATGAAAGACAAACCAGGTTACTTAAAGAATCACTGGTACAAAATACATGGAAAAATATAAGGTCCATAAAATTGGGTTATATGCACAGCGTTGTTTATTTAATGTGAATACATATCGTAGTTATGCAAAACAACCATAGCATAGAAACGAAAATAGTGTCCACTTACGTCACAGATTATGTAATACCACTTAGCGAGGATGGATATTCATAGTAATTTTAAATGTATGTGTATTTTTTAAAATGTGCTTTAGGTTCTTTAAAAAAAACAAAAATATATCACCTGGTGTTTGGAATAATGCTTCAAGTGTAAAATGCTGCGAAACGGAATAATTTGCGGAGTTCAGTCGATAAAATTTACAAAGTGTTATAAAGTGTCCTACATTATACAGTTTGTATTTGAAGACGTGTTGATAGTACCGTGGGTAGAGTTGTTTTAACGACACATGTTGGGGATGTTAGATCCCCAGAACTCACTTGATAAATGCCTTAATTTTATAATCTTATTCTGGATGTTTAAGTTTGCTTGTTTTCGCGCCTTTAGCGCACTTTTCACCTTCATGTCGTATTTCCCACTTGGGAGAATCATTAATGCTATTGGCCCGTCGTGTAATTTTAGCATGCTATTTTTGCTACGCCTCATAAGGACAGTTTTATGCTGCATATATACGTTTGATTTGTGTCTGTTATTAATCATTCGTGCTTCTGGCTTACGGAGTATGCTTTCCCGTTCCAAGCTTGAACTTCTTCCTCTAGTTAACGGGGCTGGGACGCATCAAAAAGCTAGCTTATTGGTCTACGGTCAAAAGTCTTTGCTCCGTTCGCATACTAAATGAACTCGTAATAGCTTCAAACCTAGCAACACACTTGTATGTTTAGTCAAATTCCGCTCGTTCAAACTTTTTATTTATGTCATGGCTAATTAAGTGGACGTTAAGGCGATAGAATTAGGAATAAGTTCATCTCTGGATTGTTATTTCGTTACAGATTTTGTGGATTTCTGTTGTCGTTTGACATTATTGTCAAAGAATTGAGCTTTTCGACTGGTAAGTTATTTCTGTTCCAATGGTACAGCAGAATTTGTTGTGGTATCTTGCTTCATATATTGATCAATTATCTCGCTCATAATTGCAGGTGCATCGGAAGAAAGGACATAGTTATGTGCATTCAAAGACGATATTCTCTTGCTCATTGTCGATAAACATTCACTTTTGGAGATTTATGGTAAGTGCTAAGGGAATGGTCCATCAACTGGTTCTGGATATCATCAACCAAAATTACAACAAATTTGCTGGGTGCCATGTGTTTAATAAGTTCTTCAGGGTGAATAGTCAGATGAGCAGGAGCAGGCTTTGGCTGTTGCATATCTTGTGGTGTGGTACTGACAAACGATATCAAATGTTTCAAATTCTAATTAACTGGCAGTTCGAGTAAGGTCAGTGTTGAGCATAAACCTAGTGAGCTTCAGTAAATTGTTGTCTCGTTTTGAGATGTTATAAATAATCGTGGAATCCCGAAACGAAACAGTTTTGTGTAAATATTGAACTATTTTTACGATTAGTCATTACGCGACCATGATGCGAATATACTTGCTTCGTTCCCATTCATTGAGGACAATGTCGAAGTGACACGAGTGAGAAGTACATACCTGCTATAGACTAACAATTAGGATTTGTAATTGACTTTTTGCTTCATTTTGAAATTGATTAATGATCCATTTTTTATAGTTCTCTGTCTTGTTGAACGATTAAGGTCGATAATAATTTAAAGTGATTATTGTGTCTCAACAGTTTATAAAGTACCAATCAGATTGTGGTTCTGCAAAGTGGTCATGCAGTACCAATGTTGATGAAATAAATTGTGATTTGCTATGCAAACACTTATTTCTGGGTCAACTAGCTGAACTTTAGTCACTTTGTTATGATCAGTGCCAAAACAGAATGGCATTGGTTGTTCATGGTCCACCTTATTCTACATTTTCACTATCGTCGAGGGAACGTATGCATATAGTAAACTAGTGTTTCAACTCCAAGCATCAAAAACTTTGTGGCATGTACTTACCAGATTTAACGTTACATGAATGAGCATAGTAGTTTATTATCCGTGAGAATGGTAGACCAGAATCAATAGCTTTGCAAGTCTTTGACATTTGATATTGACCGCATTAGTTTTAAAGAACTCACTTATGTGAAGGTGCTGGGTCACGTATCTGCACCAGATCACGAAAAAGTACTTTGTGCTTCATATTTAAAACCGTTACCCAGCTGAGATCAGTCATATCTCGATATATCGATATCCTATCGAATATATCTTCGAACCTTGACGCTTCTGATATACTGGGTTGACATATTTTGGTTATAGGTGTTACTGGTTAAGGCGTTGTCAAACTCCGAATATTTGTGACATTTTAAGACCTTACAGCAAGTGAGTAAAATGAATAAATGTCAAATATGTGATCAGTTGTGTGCAAACAAATGTACTATATCCCATCCCTATATGAACTAATCAACTTGAGAATAAAGCAGCTAGTTATTTAACAGTAGTTTTAGACGTCCTTTGACTTCGGTACACAATACATAGATCGAGGTTCATTTATTGATAACGATTCAAACGCGAATAAGTAGTGCCATTTAGTAGTGTCCGAGTCAGCTCGTGCTTTCTGGAAAAATCTAAACGTTTTGTATTCCTTTTAGATCAGAACTTGATGTACAATAAGATGTAGGGTCCGTTCCGTGTGATTTTTAATGTATGCGCGTGGTTAGTTGTATAAATTCCCGATTACATTACTTCACTGTAAAAACGAGACTTTGTCTTAGCTTTAATGAGCTGTGACTTTTACTACACTCGTCTGGATATTCTGTTATAACTGATCTAATTTTGAGGGTAGTTTAAAATTTCATCAGTAAAAGAATCTGTTGAATTATGACCTTGTGGCGAGAAATAAATCTTCAGAATAAATAACTTTATAAGTCTTCGGCATTGGATGCTGACCATATTAGTTTTAATCGACTCACCTAGCTGAATGCGCTCGGTCATGCATCCGCACCAGATCACGAGTGGGAACGCCGTGCTCAACATCCCCTGCAATCGCTAGCCAGGTAACATCAGTTTCTTGATATATTTATAGTCTATGCAATATATTTTTGAACCTCTTCGCTTCTGTTTTTTTATTTCAGTTGGTGGGTACGATTCATATTAGGTGTTACTGGTCAAAGCGTTGTCAAAACTCCAAACACTGGTGGCATCTCCAGTCTAATTCGTTATTAGGACTGCTGTAATAGTAAACTTATCCTAAGATTGTAGATTTGTCATGATGTAACTGACTAATGTATAAGATCTTACTTGGAAGTCACATCTTTGTCTGCACTGACTCATCGTGCTGTAACGATCACTAATATATGATGGGACACATATGTAGCCTGGAGATAGAACAATATATTTAGTATGAGCCATGCGATCCGATGAATTTGTAGTGGCATTGGACAATAACCACACAATCCTCAAAGCTGAATACGAGACAACTCGGAAAATAGATATTCAATATTTAACGCGGAGAAATACCGAACGATTGAGACGGCGGGAAGAATGTGTGGAATGAATTGGAGTCGGTCGGATGGCATGGCTCGGCCATGCAGGCGTGGTTCATCTGAATGTTACCTTATATCTTTTATTCATATTAAATATATTGTTCTTTCTCTAACCTAAGCTTGTTCTTCATCATGTATTGGTAGTTGTTACGATGATGTGACTTCCACGTAAGATCTTATAGATTAGGCAGTTATATCATGACAAATCTACAATTTTAGGATTGGGTCTATTATTAGCGTAGTACTAATATCACAGTAGACCATTATTCTACAAATTCAATCAATAGTCCCACTTTTCATAGTTAACTATTTCTTCGTGTCACTTTTTGAATATGTAGTGACTCACATTTATCACGAGAACATGACTGGTTTAATAAAAACAATTATTATTATAACCAACTGTACCAGTGTTTGTTTTAATGTGCTTTTGTTTGACTGTGCTAATGACAGCTATATTGTGCTTCCATTCTTATTCCTACACTTTGATTGTGACTTCGCGCGAATTCCGTTACATTCTGTAACCAAGCTTGTATCCTAGCACGATCTCGGTATCCTTTCGATATCACGAGATCACCAGCAAATATATCTCGACTTGGTCCATTAACTGCCTTCTGATATTTGGCTTCTCGGGGATTTTATGGGTTTATTTGGTTACGTTCAACCTTCGCCTTCTGATTTACTTGGCACGTGTTTATTGGTAGCGGTGTTCATAGTTATTCTCAACTCGACACCACGCTCCAAATATAATCCTTTTCATTATTTTATGATGGGCTTGAAAGGTCGTGTGACTAGGGTTCAGTGCGACTACAAATTCGATGGGCAGTGTCGAAGTTTATCTTCTATTGGTACCATAAATTAATTTGATTATATTCTATTCCATTTATGCAGCAGCGACATTTTGTTCACGAGGACGATATTATTTTATAAGAGTCGATGTGCATTCTGGTCGAGATGGTAAAAATGTATAATTAAGTGGTTAAGAGAGTTTTTATTTATTGCATTTGAGCATCTTTAACGTCTAACACACTAAATGATGTTACTTGCGAGTTTTATCCACTTTCTGGTTATTGTTGCCAAATAAATACATTTGGTTCGCTATAGAATCTCTTCTGCCATAAATTATTTTCAGTAACTAGTGTTCTTATTTTGCTGATGATCATCGTAGGGATTTTTGTAGGCAGATGCCATCTCTGTCCAACCAACCTACCTAAAGACTCAGTATTGTTCCATGGGCTTTGGCAAATTCTTAGTTCTTTCTTTCCTACTTTAATTTTATTAATCATATCTACAGTGGCGATTAACTGCGAATTTTGTGATTTATATATAAGACGCTGTTTACTTTCGTTTCGTCTCGAAATCACAAGAATATTTTCAGTTACTCTATGATTTCGTCACAACACTCATCTATCTTTTGCAAGATCATTCAATGTATCCTTAAAGATATGTAGATGTTGTTGCAACTATTATGTTTAATTGGATGTGTGACGCTTCTTAGCAATATTTATCTGTGAATAAGTTTTTTTGAGTGGTTGAAAAGTTAATAAGTAGATTTTCAAAATGCAAATATTGTCATAGAACTTTTCCTATACACTGAATTCACTGGTATTTAAGTGAATTGATGTAACTACTTACCTCACGAAATCGCAAGTCCATATCACAGAAATTATGGCTTCTTCATAATGATATACACTATTATGACGTCCAGAAGATCCTACATTCCGAGATTCTTTGGGGGAATGAATGGCATCTTTCCAGAAGAAAATCGGAGCAGAGAAGGATCACAGTATCGGTAAAACCACTCGAGACATGATGTGTTGTCCATTCCACCAATCTCATGTTGCATTGCATTGATTTGTAGCGGTAAATCCGTAATATAAATCGTTCTGTTATTATTTATTTCTTTGAACACATTATTACTGGTACAAGAGGGCACCAAATATATATGCGCCACACCATATTTGTGTGTGTGGGTTGTGATACTGCCCGGGTGCCCGGAACGAAGCAGATGGTTTGCTTAGGGGGCCTCACCCCGAGTCTTTGGCCTAAACGTCTAACCCACAAGGCAGTGGAGCATTGTGAGAAGATGCAGTCCCATGGTAGCCGGTGACCAAAAATTGGTCCATACGCCATTTGTTTTCGCAGGATACTGGAGCCCATATGCACCATTGGTTTGGGATCCGGTTAAAGCGCCGGACATTCGCTTTTCGTCCTCTGATTTTCGTAAACAACATCCCCGCCACGAGAAGGCAGTGATCATGACTTCCCTGGCAGAGGCTGTATACGCGTGGCCGTGTGAGAGGATTTTGAGAGGGGGGCGGGCCCACCAGGCTCTCGGCCATACCATTGCATTTGGGTCTTCGACACAAACGGTGATCTCATAAGTTTCACTGGATAAACCTTAGCTGAAGACGCCCAGTGACAAATTCACACCGGATCGCGAGTGGCTTCGCCGCACTACCCAGCTCTTGTAAATGTTGGTCAGCTTAGAATAAACGCCTCTCAATATATCGATAGCTTTCTGAGTTGGTATGCTTCGATCATAAAGGTGTTACGTGTAAAGACGTTGTCAAACTCCGAGTGCCTGTAGCATCTTGAAGTTTCTTTCGTTTAAGATAAAGAATCATTTGGAAATGGTTAGGCTTCATTTCAAATTTCTTCGTTTCATGTGTGAGACTTAGACGGATCAGTCGGGTTACTCGTTCTTGGTTTAGGCTCATTAAAAATTAGAAATGAGCTTTCAGTGGACAAGAATCTCTCGGTTGCGTACGCTGATCAGACAATCAATAATAATTCTAACTGTGACAATCTTACTGTATTTTTATTAGAATTAAACTCTCAGAAATGTTTAACAGATATATTGGAGGAATATTGTTTTGCGTTCAGAAGTTTGACTTACTATATTGGTTACCTATTTGATTACAAAAAATCTTTTTATTCACCAGACGGCTACAGTTTGAGTTTATCGATCTGTCAACATGGTATTAGACATTGGATGTTCTATTTCACCTAGAAAAAGACAGAGATTTAAACGCACTTTTTGTTACTGCGCTAAGCGGGTATGGTATTATTGCCTTGTAAAAGTACCAATAAATTACATGCAAGTGAAATAGTGTGTGAAGGATCGAGATCAGTAAATGTTATATATTGGGTTTAATTTCTATTCAAAGGACATAGAAGGCTACAAATTCTCATATGTACGGTATATATGTGTGATTATTGGTTGCGTTCTAACGGCCGGACTTCTACGGTTACTGTTTCACTGGTTTCCTCATTGGATGCTTTGGTGTACACACAAAACCTGTGGTCTTAAAGAGGCGGATAAGGTCATGATAAAGGTTTGAGTACAATTATTTTCAAATACACTCTGAGATTTAAAGGATATTTCTGGTATCTATATCCATAAAGTTCATTATCCTACAAAGGAGAAGTCAAGGTTAAGTTTACTTTGATTCATATTGTTGTTGCAAATTGTGAGCTCTGACATAAGTAAAAACAACCTTTTTTTTTCAATCAAGGCCACAGTGTGATAGTTCAACAACGGACGCTTTTCTTGAGGACCAGAACAAACACCAGTATATCATTCACAAAAAGTTAAAGTATATTTGGAACTGTGAGTCCGAAAAATTTGAGCTATTAGAGTGAGTGGGGTGTATTTATAAACACCTTAATATGTAAAATTCATTTTTGTAAAAGAAACTAAATGCCATTTCGCAACTGTTTTTACGAATCAATGTTTTCATTAGAAACATCAAAGGTATCACTAATATCTTCTGGGATTAAAACGAATGCTCAGTAACGCATGCGTGTGTTCAAGGGGGTTGTGTATTTTACATTTAGGTTCATTTTTGATAAAGCGAGTATTTGTGAGCATCCGCGTCATTATTGTATATTGTATTATGTATGTCTCCTTGGAGAAGCTGTCTGTGTGTTCATATCTTAACTTAACACTTGAGGCTTTCAGCAAAGCATACCGCATGTTAACATTTTTACCTCAAGTCCAGTAGTTTGTAATCATAGCACATTTAAATTGTTCGCTAAAAAATGACTGCGTATTATAGTTTCTAACTTTTGTATATGACGCACATGTTGCATAGTATATTTATGTGCCGATAGTACAGTAATCGTCACTTTTTCAAACGTTTCATGGTTTTTTAATTTTATTCGATAAAGCATGCATTTTACAGGGTACATATCACCACTTAACGATTACTTTTATTTGTAAACAACCTTAGTTCATTAGAATATCGGGATTTAGTGCTGATGGAACAATCGGAATCTATAGGTTTACACTTTTCAGAGACACAAATGTAACAGAATTTGTTGTGTCATCAGAAGATGCCTCCTTTTGGTTTACTCAGGTAGTTGGATTTTCCCAAAATGATGCTAAACTTTGTTGTTTATTTTTCTTTAGATACTGGGATAAGCGTCCTTACCATGAAGTATTAAATACACAAGCCTTAAATGCGGATCGAATTAAAACCCGTCGAAGCTTGTATGGGATTAATAAGATAGATATTAGCCTTACACCCATAATCAGGCTTGTTTTAAATGGTGTAAGTTGTTGAAAGCAGTATAAATTTGTTATGTTTTTTTGGTTATGATTTTGGAGAGGTGAAGGGCAAGTTTTAAGTTGCTCTGGATCTGGTTTCACCGTTCAAAACTGATTTAAAAATATTGCACCTACAAAACAACATCCTCTGTTTATTTCAGATCTACAAAATACATTTTTAGCTATCAAAGTATAATGTAAGCCGCTGTGATGTTTATTCTAACTACTCTGAACATGTAAATACACAGATATTCAGTTTACAGACAAAAAAGTCAAGATAAAATCGGACAAAGTTTTTATTTATGAGGTTGTTTCATGCAGCTGATTATCATAATGGGTTTGTAATGCAAATCACCCCTAAATATGTACTAGTAACTGATCATTTACAAACAGGCAGGATTTGTACACTCGGTAAACTTTGCTAACAAATCAGGAAGACTTGTGCGTGAAGCATACTGATAACATTATATCATTTGTATTCACTGATTTACGTACGAAACGTTTGTGTATATGACAAATATAGTATGCCAGACGAAAACTGACTAATGTGTCGAGTTTTATGATGGTTTAAACTGTGATAAACAGTAGCATTAATTTTCGGCAATTTATCTCAGTATACTTGTCATGGTTGTTTTTTGTTTCAGTGTCTTACTCCTTTTCATTGCTTTCAAGTATTCAGCTGCGTCATATGGTATTGCGTCGAGTATGAAATATATGCGACATGTATTGTTGTGTTTTCGGTTATATCGCTTATTTTTCAGGTTTACGAGCTCCGTAAGGTAAGAAAGCTTGTACATGTTGTACTTGTTTTTTCGGTAAAAACTTTTAAACTGGCCAGATAGAAATTAAGATAAGTTTCCATAATTGTAAATGAAATTGTTTTTAAGCCTTTATTATGCATGCTATGTCTTCTTACAAAATCATTTATGAAGAAATAACGCGCAGGGTTTACTAGTTAGTTAAAACGACTGAATCTAACTAAATTAAGGTAAAGATTTTCACTCTCTTTTGGATCTGAACTTATGTACGTGGATTAGTCATATCACCCGGATACTACCGTCGAATTAGCTTCTGTGGATTTTGATCCTATGTTTCATCAGTGGACATTTGACTACTTAGAACACTAGGTCATAACTTATTGTCTAGTTACCTGGATTGACATTTATGGAAATATACCAAGTCAAATTGTAAAGTGTAACTGTATCAATGTAGATGTAAATGGATAAACAGAAACAATATAACAGCCTTAACAAGCTCTGTAAAACGCCGCAAATTAATAGTTAACTGTTTCTCGTCCCTGAGGAGCAACGACTAAAATTAGTGTAAAATATATATATATATATATATATATAATTTTGATCTTGTTTCATGGTCATGTGTTCATCCTTAAGGTCACTAGATGATTGTCTGTTAGTTATTCTAGAAGAATATTAGTTAGTTCAAGACTAACTCGTCAGATTTCACTAATCACGCAACCATAAATCAATTATATTTATGTCGTCATTTTTCGGTTTTTGCTCGTCAATTTTTATTTTAATTAGATCAGTAAATTGGTTTGTTTAGCATTTTCAACCAGCATCTGAGTCCTGCCAAATACTTCTTTTAAGCGGGATCAGAATCACCAACATTTTCAGCACATGTGTTTGCTGGTCAACGAATTCTTCATATACTGTTCCTTTTCATCCTAACAGACTACTTTAGTGTATATAGAAGCTTGCTGTAATATGTAACTTATCGTTTAGAGACGTAGCTTATTCTATTAAACGTTTGAGTTACAAAAAGTTTGTAAATTCTTTCGTAAACGTGGATTTGTGTTTTTTATGTACCTGGAATGAATTTTTAAAAACTGGATTGTTTGATATGTTGGGTCAATCATTAATGTATGGTTTTCTTAGTGCTGAATACACACAAATTTTGTGCTACTTTTAGGTTATTTTTCACCTTGGTTAATACTAATATCTTACGTTGTATATAATATTTGGCAAAATCACTTTTTCGGACCTTTTCAGACCAACTATCTGATCCACAACAAGTCGACTACCAATTTTTAAAAGACGGCTGAAAAAGATTCAAACAACAAAGAAAAATAAGTTATTTATGTACATAATGGTCAATTTATAACAGTCAATTACGTATATAGTTTAAAAATACTTGATTATACATCATTTTACATTAGTAGCCACACCTACTCCTTTTCTGTTCTCAGTCGTCAAAGCTAAGCTAGAATGACAATCAGATCACTTGTGAGCTCCGTCATCCGGGCTGGTGTCAATATACTGACTGATTTATGTGACTTTATATTAGACAACTGATTTCAAGATATTGAAATTGTTAATAAACCTTCTAACTTAGTCCATGGTTAAATCCGAACTCTGCCTATGAATGTTGGTCCATGAGAGTTACAAAGAACGAACTCTAATGTTTAGTTCAATTTTTTGAAAGAGTTTAACAGAGTGATCCTGTTTTATAGTTACACCACACACAAAATTCAGGATTTGCCCGGAGAATCCTAGTAGATTGCTTAAAAGGACATGGGCGTCTAGGTCAATAGTTTTAAATATATTTGTTAATATGTGAATAAAGCTTTTCATCGTTCTTTTAGGTAGCCAAGCAACAGCTCGTTAACATAATAATTGTATATTGCGTGACATTCTTAACTTGACTTGACTTATCTAGGAGGTCATGTATACACCAATTTAGTAGTCATTTTAGAAATAAAATTGTTACTACTTGTGTAGCAGTTAGATAGTGTGGCAAATCATGAGTGATTTGATAAGACAGCAAAATAATTCCAGGTCAACTGTAGAGTTGAAGGTTGATTGTATGATAAATTTACTTAGTTTTATTTGAGAGTCATCAGGCTGAGGGTAACTTTGTTCAAAACGTAAACATTTAAGTTCGTGTATTCAAATACGAGAATGATATTTACTGCAACCTCTGTAAGATTGAAAATGATTTTCAGTAAGAGTAATCTTCGTTATGTTGTCTATTCATCGAACCCAAGTCAACGTTTACTATTTAACTAACTGGAATAAAGTTGACTCTGTTCGTTTTTATATCAATTGATACGAAACTACCCGATAATGTCTAAGTGCAGAAAGAAGCAAGGTTCTGTCTTTATACTAACTAGCGTGAATTAATGGAGGCTACAGTCATTTACTTGGCGTCTTTTGTACATTGTAAAAGGATTAAGCATTTACTCCAATTATTTTAAGAGCACAGGAGTGTATTTATGTATGATTTATTATTAACGTTGGAAATATTCCGATGAATGCTCACTTTTGGTAGGGACGTTTATCAGTTTATATAAATTAACTGTAAAATAACTTTCTACTTTTACGGTTAACATATTTTTATGTCGACAAAAGTTTTTGTGATTAAACTCATTGAATGAGTTTAATTAAGATATAATATCGCTCCATTCTTTATCCAACGAATTAGAATGAACGCGCTCTAAAGAGAACTGTATGTGTTTCATCTAAAGTTGGTGTGTGCAGACGTTATGACGGGAAGGATGGTAAGTACAAGAAAATTTCCAATGCTAATTTTTAACACTGAAGTTTAAATGCATTTTTGATGTGCCTAAAATTGGCTTAGTTTTACCAAAACTTTTGAAGTACATAAGCGTTACCTTTGTCGCACTTTAAGTGGCCATTCCAAAACACTGACAGATGTTTAAAAAATGGAATAAACAATTTACGTGCCATATTTTTATTTGATTAGGAAGAGAGGTTGGTTTTATTTGACCGTTAAAATATCCACATACGGGACTTCATTTATGAAACGTAACATCGCCGCTGTAAAAAGTGTTTTTATAATTATTTTTAAGAATTTGCTTTTGAAATAATTGTATGCGGCATTTCTGATGAAAATTTTGATAATTGTAGGGGCAGGAAAAATCAGATATGTTGACGCCTGACTTTATATGTTGATTCTGTCAAGTAAATTTAGATAATTGCGCTGATATATTAAAATATTTCACTATCCTCACGATTGGAAACATCGTTCTACTGTAAGCTTCTTTCTTTGTTCAACAAAATATACATAATTAAAAGCTTACATGATTTAGAGAGTAGCAAATGATTTGTTTTACAAAATGTGCATCTAAATTTAACTCTTTATTTATATGTCCTCATCTGTGTTTGCGACCGGTTATTTAAGGTACACAATAAATTAATTTCACTGAAGGAATAGAAGTGAATGTTCATTTACTAGCTTCATAACATTAGCTTACTTGAAAAGCGCTAATTTTCTCAAGTAAATGCTACTTGCTATCTTCACTTTGATACTAGAAAACAACAAGTGTTGATTCAACAAGTCTAGGGAAAACGATTTTTGTATATTTTTGTTTTCTAACGAATAGATTTTATGCTTGTCGATTCAACCGAATTGGTACCAGGAGATTTAATTGCCATTCCGAGTAGTGGATGTTTGATGCAATGTGATGCAGTATTATTGACGGGGAACTGTATCGTGAATGAAAGTAGCTTAACAGGTAGGTCTTAAAAAATAGTAATTTTCATATCTGTTTAAAATTGATTTGATCTCAAGTTCATCATAGAAGTTTAAAATCGTTTTATTCATTAGGGTTCAAGTTTTTTTATTCTTAAACTGAAAACGTAGCTTCATCCTTGTTGGTAAAATGCTACTATAGTGTTTACAAAAAAATATGGAAGCAGACCGGCATTTTAAGGAGCCTGTTTTCACAATTTATTTGGACAGATACAGTAGACAGTGCTTCTTCGTAGTCTCTACCTAAGCCACCACTGGCTGAATTTCGGACAGAGTAGAATATGAGTTTTATTGAAGGCTATTAACCCTCTAAAAGTTAGACGCTCAGATGGACTATTGTTATATATATATATATATATATATATATATATATATATATATATGTATATTTCAGTTGTATAGCCGTTCAGTATCTAGATTATAAATATATGTATTCCCCTAATTATAAGCTACATTTTAACCTATAGATTATTATTATTATACTTTTTACTGTTCTTAAGTTGTGTTCAGTTTATTGATTTCAGTCTCTCACGTTCACAGCCACTTTTTGGCTTGATCTTGTATAACTATTATTTTTTATTTTATGATGTGATGGGGTCTGTTCGGCTGGTATATAAGCCAAGCACGTTTGAAATAAATGATTCACATAGTGGAAGCTGTTATTGGTGTTCTTGTTTTAACTGGACGGGCTAGGCGAACAAAGGACCAATAAGGATGCTAGGCTTCTCAAACCGGTCGAACGTCACAGGTTTAGCATAATACTAAGATTGGATAAGTTGTATTTCGATTGATGAATAAATCATGCGATAACCACCCGGGTTTAAAAACTGTTATGACTTGTGGCCTTGTGCCCTAATAATATGTGACGTAATGATACCGCCGACTAGAGAACAATGACTTATCGACCGGACCAATGACACGTAAACTCGTACGAACATTCTGGAGTCCTTATCGGTCCTTCTTCCCGTCTAGCCCTGTCTGCTGAGTCCAGACCACCAATCTCAGCTCCTGCAATATGAGTCATGTGTTTCAAACCTAATGAATTCATGTACAAGCCAAACAGACCACATCTCACCACAAAATAGAAAACAAAATTTGTAAAAGATCTAGCCTAATGTGGCTGTGAATGTGGGAGACTGTAATTAATAGACTGTGCATAACTCAAGAGCGGTAAACCGTATAATAATAGTCTATGGGTCCAAATAAAGCTTATAATAGGAGTAACATGAATATGCATAGTTTAATTGCTTAAAAGTTATACAACAAAAATATATGTATGGTATTGGTCCATAAATAGTTTTCAAAAGTTACAACTCATAATTCTCTTCGGGATACAACAAAAACACAATAGTAGTAGTCGCAGCTGGTGAATTTAGTACCTGTTTGTGTGATCTTAACCGCATTGAAAGACATTTAAGTGAGTACTACAGTGTCTGAGCTCATCAAACAGATAATGAGGACCGGGTGCTTCTACTGTCTGGTTTTAGTGGGAACCAACTTTAAACAGAATAAAAGCAATCGCACATCTAAAAACCACTCGATAATGAAAAGAAATAAGAGTGTATTACAGTAACGACTGGAGAAGCAGTTAGTCGATCATCGAAGTAATGTTCAGTCCTATGTATGCTGGCTCGATACCTGATCAGTTGTATAAGCCGTGTTGATATCTACCAGCGATAAAAACCAAAAGTCGAAGAGATATCAGTGGGTTTCGGTGGCGTTTATATAACTCATAGATGCTCGAAAGCTCATCGCGTTAGGATCTAAACACGATAAGTAGCGAAAGCAACTAAAATTTAGGTTGACAAGAGGTTTATGTTCGATTGTGAATGGTGTAGGGTAACGAATTTAAAGAACGAAAAAGACTGCGGCGAAAGGTAACGGCAGGAAACTTTTCAAACTTATCAAAAACTGGCATTCAGAAAGTCAGGTATCAGTGAGACTACATCCAACGTAGATGGGACCATCGTCTTCTTTCAGTCCAGATTATTAGAATGATGTGCGAAACATATTAAAGAACAGTTTAATTGTTTTCTACTTACCACTACAAAACAACCAGGATGGGAGATTGAACTTAGCTACCCGACTGTTATTAAATTCAAAAAAGCAATAGCTAGTCTTAAGCGAGAATGCGCAGCGCAGCTCGATGAATTAGCCTCGAAGAATCTTAAGGATAGTGGTCAAGTTTTAGCAGTTAGATTGACAGACATATCGACCAGAATCTGGAGGCTGAATCTTTCAAGTCTAGAAGAGGGACAGAAATCCTCTTTTGATAATCACAGAGAACACAGTTTGACTGATATAATATCTGAAATACTAGACTCAACAATCACCTAATAGTTACTTAGGGCTTTTATAGAGCAAACCAGGGAGAAGCACCGGGCTGGTTTCAGAAATCGACGTGAGTGCATATACAAAATGTTTACCCTTCGTCTGGCTCTGGAACACAGAAATACCTAACGAGATCTGATTGTAATGATATTTATTGACCCCAAGGCAGCGTCTGACCCTGTTGACATATACTTTATCGGAATGGCTG